ACCTTTCTACCCAAGATTTTCCCCTCTTTAGCTGTTTCTAAAAGCAACAAAGGCCAGGCCTTTGTGAGGCTTTTCTCAGATAAGAGCTCGTGGCCTGCTCTTTCTTTCCAAGTAGAGACCCCCCCGCCAGTCTTCCACATTCTCTCCCTTTTCCGCTTGGGTGTTGATCCAGGGACCCGCTTGGGGCTTGGGGCCATAATCCTCTCTCTGATGGCTGAATCTGTGGTTAGATAGTCCTGAAACGGTGTGGCTAATTCTGGGCGTTGGGACCTCAATGACAGGTCCTCATACTTGAGACACCTTGTCGTGTCTCATATTCTTGCTGTCAGTTGAAGGTTACCAAAATGGTAGCCTAGAGGCCAAATGTAATTATATGTGTTGTTGGGTTTTACAGATTTTTTAAAAAAAATCCTCACAGGACAACATAACCATTGATTTTAGAAAAAGAGGAAGGGAGAGAGAGAGAGAGAGAGAGAGAGAGAGACATAGAGTAAGTAAGTCAGAGACATTGATGTGAATGCGAGATATCGGCCAGTTGTATCCCGTGTGCAACCTGACCAGGGACCCGTGATCAAACCTGCAAACTTTTGGTGAATGGGATGACACTCCAAACAACTAAGCCACCTGGCCAGAGCAATTATAATAATTACTATTGTATATATTTTATCCTTAATAAAGGAAAGTACTGATACTAGTTTTGATTATTCTGTATACTGATATGATGTAGTTTTTGCTATTATATTACATATCAGTGAAAACAGTCTGTTTCAACAGGAAGGTAATTTAGTCTTTTAATTTGACTTTACTAAAAAGGAATTTGAAATACAGGTATTTCTTGAAGCACCGGGTATCCTCAGTTGTTTTGACAAGAAACTGCATGTCAAGATTTGCAGAAAATGTGCTATATTTTTTAACACTATAAGATGTAATGAACAAATCAAGTAAAACAACAAATGACCAAAATGAAAATAAGGCAAATAAAATAAGACATATCTGTTGTACTGCATTGTTAAAATCTTATAACAATAATCTCCACCTTTCCACCTTGCGGGTAGAAAACAAGAAATTTGTGTTCTTGTTGAAGGCGAATATCCTTGGCTTTTCTCTGATGATTTACTAAAGATATGCCCTATGGACCTTTTGAGACTCATTTGAGGATTACTCTAAGCTTCAATGTTTGTTGACCCAGGCAGCTTTATTTTCATGTAGCTTTCTTAGCCATATAGCTAAATATCCTTTACTGCCTTCTTTTTCTACCTGTAGCTTCTGTTCAGATGTCCTTGTTAAGTTATATTTTAGGAATGCTTTTTTTCTCTGTCACAAATTGTCCAAAATTTGAAAATGAGCCATCATGTTAAACAGAATGAGTTGGAATTTGTAGTAGACTTTTTCAGGAGTAATTGTGCAATACTTTGGGCAAAAGAGATTTGGTCAACTGTTTAGGAGTGTTAGAAGTCCTCTGACTAGGACTCTTTGGAGGTAATATGATGCCACACTGATGTGTACCTTTGACTTTTATTAACTAGGCTCTTTTCCTAAACAACTATGTTTTGGAAATGTTAACTTGAGAAAACTGATAGTAATGGACTCTTGTCCATACAGATTACAACACATGTTGACAAATTGAGATAAATGATTCCCACTTTGATTTTTACCCCTTAGGAAGGATAACCCCCCAAATTGTATTTTATTAGCCAATAGCAGGATTTCTTAACCTTTGCGCTGGAAAATTCTTTGTTGTGAGGGGAGTGTCCTGTGCACTCTAAGAGATTGAGTTGCAGTCCTGCCATCTATCCACTAGGTGCCGGTAGCAACTTTGTTAAAACTGCATTGGTGTCTGTTCCTATCTAATTGACTACGACTATTTTATTATTTGTCATGACCAGATAAATTTTAACGGTTTACTGTTACTTTGTCTTGCTACATTCATTGTCACTCTGATACTGATTTCTCCTACGCTGAGACTGAGATATGTTGTCTTCCCTTAGATTTTAGAGAATGTTGATGAAGATGGTGTGATCGTGGCACCTGTAGTTCTAATTCAGGGATCAGGGGTGTTTCTCCAAGTGCCTGTTTCTGTTTCACTTTGCCCCCAGAATCTTTACCAGGATGGTGTAGCTCCTGGTCACTGGATAGACATGGTAGACATCTGTAACTTGAGGATGTTTCTGTTAATTTAGTAGGTTTCAATGATTAGGCAATTCTCTTATTATATAGCACTTAAATTTTCTGGAAGTAATGAACTATAAAAGTTAAGGCACTTTCTGCCATTTAATTCATCACAGCTCTATGACCCTAACATAAAGAGAGTTAGGAAGGAGTGTTAACTTTTCTCTCCATGGTCCAATTTTATAGTTTCTTAACTGAGACTTGGCTTTCTTTATTCTAGATTTCATTTTAGGATTCTTCAGTTAGTGGCCCACCCAGAAAATTAAGGCAAGGAAGATTTTTTTTTAAGGGACTTATGGTGACCTAATTACAGCTGTCCTGTGTGTGTGGTTGCTTTGTGTTGTGTGTGTGTTTTCTCACCAGAGCTGAAAACTTTCCATTTGTTGCTTTAGTGTTCTGGGCTGTCTAGTTAGTTCTTGCTGATTGCGGTTTATGTGCATTTTTAAATGCCTCATTGCTATTCTGGTCATGTCTCAAAAAAAGACCTAAATGTTAGCTTTTAAATAACACTTACTAGTTGGAAGAATATCCCTGCTAATGCAACATCAAAAACAATCCTGCTTCTTAGGAAAAGTTTAAGGAAGTCAGTATAACTGATCTGAAACTTTCATCGTTTTTAGGAAAAAAAAAATGCAAACTGAGACCCACTTAAATTATAGCATAGAAAATACAGAACATTTTGTTCTTTGTTCTTAACCCACTGGGCTGACACATTTTCCGCCTATACCACCTTGTAGTACTGGGCACCCATAGCTTGCTACCTGCTGGGTAAAGTATTATTTTTAATTTTCCCTAGGCTCTTCTTCAGTTCTCAACTGCTTACTTATTCTAGAACCTGTATAAGATTTGATAAATAAATGCATGTCAGCATGAAATCTGCTCTGTGCCTCAAAATATTTGTAGTTGTCAATCTTTCCAGCTCCATTTCACAAGCCCAAAACCTCAGAGGCATCTGTAGCTCTGGTGTTTTCTCTGTGATTCAGGTTATCATGTCTAGAACCCACCCACTTCTTGCCAGCCTACCACCGATACCATAATCCAAGCCACCATCACCCAGGCCTGGATTTATGCAGTTTCAGTAACATCTGACTGGTGTTCCTGATTCTCACCTTTCCCTCTAAGGTCTACAGAATAATTATTCACCAGCCAGAATAACCCTTTAAAAATGTAAGTCTGATCATGTCAGCCCTGTTCAGAACCTTCTAATGGCATCTCATCACTTTCAGAGTAGACAGTCTGCCTGATCTGGTTACTGCTTCTCCCCCTGGGACCTCATTTTCCCACTCGGCACCGTTCTTTCTGCTAATAATTGAATAGGCGCTAGGAAAGCCACGTTAACTGCTTAGAGCCTCTGTCTACATCTGCGAATGAGAATAAGAAAGTTTCTTTTCCCTTGCCCACCTCACAAGGTTATTGAGAGCCTCAGATCCATCTGTTTTCACTGTTGGTTCTTATTATTGCCTTACATTGTGCTAGGAATGGTTGGGATTTGTTTTGTTTTTCCCCCATCAATTTTGTTTGGGTCAGGGAGGGTTAAGGGGAACAGTTAGAAATCTTGGCCGAGGGAGCACTTTGTGTTAATATCATGGTTGGAGAGTAAACAGAGAGGAGTCTGGAAACTTGGTTCCTGGGAGGGGCCTTCTGCAGCTACCGCATCACCATGTCTGGTTGTCATGCAGGGGAACCAGTTAAAGCCGGAATTACTGGTAAATTTCAGTATCAGCCTGGTGAAAACCAGGCAGCTCCCACTATTTCTTGTTCTTTTATGTCAAAGCAGAATTTTGTGGCCTCTGTTCTTCATGTCAAATCCAATGGCCCATTAAATCTTATTTTGCCCTCTATCATTGCATAGGATATTGACTTGTAGAAAGGTCACTAGCTAGAAATGAAATTTCGAAGTCTTAGGTATGACTTTTTGTATCATCCAACTTTCTTAACATTTACTAGGCTAATCCAAATAATCTATTTCTTGTGACTCCTGTGCCTTTTTTTTTTTTTTTTTTTTTTTTTTGCCAGTTGTTTATGAATTGTGGAGAATTGGAGAAGGGAGTAACCAAATGAATGCCTGAGTGCATGCTTGCAAATGTCTGTGTATACAGTATTTGTATGTGAACTGTGGTAAAGATGAAGAAAGGCAAATGAAAAACTAATCCTTCAAGAAGGACAGATCCTGTTCATGTTCATGAGTGCGTCACAACTGGCCAAGGACTATTTTGACTATTAATGGATGTAATTTAATATACTTGATGTCATATTGTATTGTTGAGAAGTTGTATGTTGATAAGTTGATTTATCTTTGTTTCACAACAGGTTATACTTTTAACCTTGTGTTAAATTCTTTTGTAAGTTAGAATATAATTTGTAAATTCATATTGAATTTGGAATTGGATTTATTATCATCCATTCTTATGTGGTTACCCTGTGATTATCTTACTATGGTAAGTTGAGTGAGTGTGAGCTCAAGTTCCTTCCTACAAATTTTTTTTTTCATATAGCATTTGGAGAGTGGAAGTGATCAAAAAGATGAGGATTAGCAGTCTTCCAGAAGTATGGGGCTAAGTTTTCATTTGTTCACTGCATAATTTTGAATGTCATCAACTAATATGTTTTAAACTAACTATCCCCACACCCCCTGGCCCGGACAGTGTCAGCAGGAGTTAGAGAAGATCCTTGCCTACTTGAAGCTTGGAAAATTGATGGGCAGTGTGTGCTATACCAGATAATGACTATTCAGTGAAAATGTTTTTAATTTAAGAGAAATGCATCTAATAATCTACATCACTTTTGTACCTGAAACATTGTGTTAACTCCAACCTTTCCTTTTTTTCTAGGCAAATAAGGCAGCGACTGAAGAACGAGGTCACTCAGATCACGGAGCAAGTACCTGGTTTCACACCAGGCCTGGCAATATTACAGGTATTATGATAGTGTGTTTCCACTAATATCTTCCTTACTCATCCTATCAATAGCACTTAAGACAACAAGCAATTCAGTCTCTTCCCATTATTTATTTATTGTTTTGGCTTCTGTGAAACCTCAGACCTTCGTAGTTTCTCCTTGCAGGTTCCTCTTCAGCTCAACTTTTAAATGTTGGTGTGTCCTCGCCCTCTTCTATTCTCTGTGAGTACCCGCCCCATCATCCAGTGTCTCTTGAAATTTTGTCTTAGGATCCCTCCATACTTTAAAAAATTTAAGACCTTAAGGAGCTTTTGTTTAGATGGGTTTATCCATTGATATTTACTGTATTAGAAATTAAAACTAAGAAGTTTAAAAATAACTTATACATGTAAAAATGCTAATAGTGAAATCATTATATGTTAACGTAAGTAACATTTTTATGAGAAAATAACTTTTAGAAAACAAAATTTAGTGAGAAGAGGGGCGAAGACAACTGGGTTCCCATCTGCATTTACATTCAATCTCTTGCTGTATGCTAGCGTGATTTAATATATGAAGAAAATCTGGCTTTGAAAAGATGTACAGTTGTAAAAGTGAAGGCTTTTTAAACTTTTTAAAAATTTACTTAGTGATTTGAGAGAGAGAGAGAAAGAGAGAAACATCTATTCATTGTTCCACTTGTTCATGCATTCACTGGTTGATTCTTGCATGTGCCCTGAACAGGGATCAAACCTACAACCTTGGCTTATTGGGATGACACTCTAATCAACTGAGCTACCCAGCCAGGGTGGAAGGCTTTTAAAAAGACTATTTTAAAAACAGTCTTTCCAGCCCTGGTCTGTGTGGCTCAGTTGGTTGGAGTGTTGTCCTATAGCTGTAGGGTGGCGGGTTCAATTCCCAGTCAGGGCACGTGTGATCACCAGTCCAGGTGTGTATGGGAGGCAGCCAGTCCTTGGGGTGCTTCCCTCATGCATTGATGTTCCTCTCTCTCCTTTCTTCTCTCTAAAAAAACAATGAAAACATGTCCTCGGGTGAGGATAAGAAAAGATAGTCTTCCAGATAATTGCGAATACTTTTCTTGAATACTACACCAGGACTCAATGAAGTTTTTAAATGTTAGTTGCAATGTGGAATCTAAAACTGTATCTTTGGACTTTCATACTTTGTTGCATCAAAATCTGTGTTGCAGTTCGAAAGGATATGTACCCATGCAAATCCTTCCGTTCCTCGTTTGGAAAGTAATGGTTCACTGAATTATGCAGATCTTCCAAATGTTAACGTATTTCATTTTGTGGTATAAACATACTTATCAAAAGAGATGTTAAGTGTTGAGAAGTTTTCAAGCACACAGGAGTGGATTAAAAATTCTGATTTTGGCTTGAAAACTCAAATTTTATTATTGGCAATAAATACAATTAGTTATTTTACTTGAAGAGCAGGCTAACTTTTTCCACTGTTGAGAAAATATTGCCAAATATTCAAAGCTGAATAATATTGATCATCAGTTGTTTTTTCAAGTAAAGATGGTATTCCATTTAAAAATGCAGCTAGCTCAGCTTGCAAGGCAAAAAAGTGCAACCGTTTTTCCCAGGGACACCAGCATACTTTAGCATGCAGCAGAAGTGCTTCCCCATTCCTTACACGAAATATTAAAAAGATGCATACTCAAGGGTCGGCATTAAAAACCTTCATGGTGTTCACTGCTTCACCCAGAGCACTTCTTCTAGATGAAGCTGTCATCTTTTTTTACTGAGCGTGTATGGCACAGAAGGATACCCTCATAAAGAGTATAATTTGGTACCATTGTCTTGACTCGTACTAAGTCACCAGCAGTCTTATTCATGCATTATTACTTTTGCAGCCTAATAGAAATGTGAATACAGTGAAAAAGGCAAATGACATTATAGTATTATTATAAAAATAGTTTGGCACTTGCACATCTTCTTAAACGGTCTTGATATTCTCATAAGAATGTGTGGACCATGGTCCTAGACCAGCAATTTTCAACCTTTTTCATTGTAGCTCATGTAAACTACTAAAATTCTGTGGCAAACCAAGAAAATACATTTTTCACTGCTCTGACAAAACAAATAGGTATAATTTTGATTCATTCACACCAGATGGCTATTGTTTTGTTGGCTGTTGTCCTTTTTTTTATTTGACAGTCTAAGGGAAAAGAGGTCAGTACCCCTGACTAAATAGTCGGGTGTTACATGTTTTGAAAATTCTTACAGCACAGCAGTTGAAAATCGCTGCCCTAAGCAATTTTGTTTGGCCCCATATATCAGCTGTGGGCCAATAACTTATACACCCTGCATCTCTTCTGAGTTCTGGACTCTGGGTTTCTGGGACATCACTTATTTCCCTCACTTCTCTAATCTTTTTTGCTTGTTTCTCATCCTCATGAAGAATAGGGATCTCCCTGTTTCTTCTTCGTCACACCTAGAACACACCTGAGGGTTCAACCCTCAGACCACTTTTTCATCTTACTCTTTCTTTAAGTGAGCTTACTCGATCTTATAGCTATATGGAAGAACACATCCTAATTTAGGCTTCTTCCCACATTTTATTCCCTGAGCTCCAGATTCATCCAGCAGGTGGCCTTCAATAAAGTGGTAGGAGGCGTTCAGTAGATACTGTTGTATGGACAGATGTACAAAGAGTGTTTTGAAGGGTAGATTTGGATGACAGGAAACAGACTGCCCTCATTTGCAATGCCCTTCAGAAATACCTGCTTCCGCACTTCCCATTTCTCTTTGTACATCTGTCTCCACTTACACCATTTAATCCCTTACTCAGTTTCTGTCCTATGTTCATTAAGAATTTCAGAATGAATAGTACTTTAACGTTTTCCCCCATTTCTGTTCATTATCTTAAGAGGCCTTCGCTGAGGAGACAGACACAGAAGGCCTGTCATTCTGCCTGGTGTGTCCTCCCCAATGGTGGATTTTTGGGGTTTTGGGGGGGTTTTTTGCAAATTACTCAGAATCAAAGGTATATGTTGTGGGTGTACACTTGCTGCATATGGAGGATGAGTTATTTTTCAGCTCATGCTTACGAATTGTTTGCTGTGGAAAGAGTAAATGTCATAGACAAGAAATCAGAAATCTTTCCTTAGCAATATTGGGATTTTCCCCCCGTTTCGAAGATTGATTTCTAAACTTATATTTTAAATTTGTTGAGTGCAAATGTTTTTGTTTACATAAACAGTGTCCTACAGCTTTGTCCCCTGTGTCCTTGCCAATAAAACAGTAGTAGACTATTTTATCTTGCACTTTAGCACCAGAGTCAACATCTTTCTATGACGCAGGGCTTACACATTCTATGTTGTAGTTGTTGACCTTAAACAAATAGACAGCCAGATATTTCCCCAGAAAAATGGGTTAATCCAGGAACAACAAACAGAATACAGAACTGTGCAGTCTAAAGCTGAACCACGTGCAAATCCAGAGAAACAAAGGACAGAGGAAGCTCTTTTATGGACTTGGGTTGGGCCGTTTTAAAGGAGGAGTCTATTGGGGGAAACTGGAAGTTCAGGTATAGTGACTTTTTATAGGCTGAGCTGTTACTGGACGAGGAGGAATCTTCTTCCTGCTGAGGCAGTGAAGTAGTATCGCTTTTGGTTGCAGATGCAAAGCACTCTCTTCCTGTTGGGGTCAGTAGTGTACTTTGAGTGACAGGCATGACAGCTCTCTCTTCTTGCTTCCTAATTCCATTTTAAATGAGGTTTCTGTTTATTGATTTTCACATAACCACATCTCTGCTGCCTTGGACCTCTCATTTTTTCCATCCTGGTGACCTGGCACCACCATTTTCCCACCTGAGGTCACCTCTCGGAAGGACCTCTCCCTCACTTTCCACATCCACTTAGGGACTCTGGTGCTGTTGAGTCTGCCTCTCTCAGTTCCTGGAATCTGTTCCCCCCTTTTGATTTGTGCTGCTCCCCCGGCTGGGGCCGCTGTAGCCTCATGCTTTCAGGTTTCTGATCTGAATGTTTCTAGTCTGTCCTTTTAACTGCTACTGTCGCCGTTGTCAAAATGCAAATCTAATCACAGTCCACCCAGCGTTACCCTTACAGAAGGAATGGCAGTACTGCTTATATAGAGTGTCTACTATAGTTCAAATGATTTGTATATATTTCTAGTTCTAATTTCCGTACTACCCATAGATGTAGGGAACTGTCTGCTTATAGTCACAGTAATGGATGCGCAGAGCTCTTGGGTAGCTCATCCAAGGCCATAGTCAAGAAGGGACTGAGTCTGGAATATTAACTCAGGTCTTCCTCCAAAAACTGTTTGCTTTTTTCCCCTTTGTTTTTTGAATTCCTTGGCATTGCATTCAGGGGTATTCGTGATCCAGCTGGGGTATATAGAGCAAAAAGGGGGAATTTTTTAAAAAAATATTTTATTTATTTATTTTTGGACAGAGGGGAAGGGAGGGAGAAAGAGAGGGAGAGAAACAGTAATGTGTGGTTGCCTCTCACGCACCTCCTATTGGGGACCTGGCCTGCAATCCAGGCATGTGCCCTAGATGAGGAATGGAACCAGCAACCTTTTGGTTCACAGGCCAGCACTCAATCCACTGAGCCACACCAGCCAGGGCTAAAAGTTGGAGTTTTTAAAAAAACACAGTGGACTGTTAACTTTCCAAATAACTGAATATTTAAAAGAAATTCAGACTTTCTATTATAAGAGATAGAAATGAGGCTGTATTTCCATTCCCTTAGCCTATAAAATACTTCAGTTATTAATACTATAATAACTAATTTGCTTCCTGCCCGGAACTATTCAAAGTGTTTTGTGTATGGCAACTCATTCAGTCTTCACAAAAAAACATGGAGAATATGAGAAAAGTAACAAAGTCAGCTGGCCTGAATATCTGCAAAAGGCTCCTGATGCAGAAAGAAGAATTAATGAATAGACCAATACCCACATTATTTTATGCTCTAAAACAGGGATCGGTAAACTCGCCCATGTCCAAATGCTGCCTAGGTTGTAAATGGTTAAAAAAGAAGCAAAATGTGTGACAGAGCATGGCCTGAAAAACCTAAAATACATACCATATGGCTTCTTACAGAAACAGTTTGCAGACTCCCGGTGTTAAAAAAAAAAATTGTTTCTAACTTGTTCTGGGAAAGGACCTCTTTAGAATGATATTATTCACCTCTTTCTAGAAAGAAATTAGCATTCTGATAAAATGCTTAAGCGATTTTCTTGCTAAAGTCTAATGGATTTAAGATTTGTTCTGGGAAACCAGTCTTCCACCCACCCACTTGACTGTCAGTCAAGAATCTACTGTTCTTCTACTAAACAGTCTTTTTTGCATCTAGTCTAGCAATGATTGTGTAACTATTTTCTTCTGTAACATGCGTATCCTGAGAGTGAGTCTTTGAATTGGCTCTTAAGGTCCTTTCCTTTGCATGAGGATTACAATGAAACTTTGACATATGTTCATAAACATAATCATTAAGCTTTCTTTTTAAAACTGGTGGAAATTTTGAAAAATTCCAAAACATTCAGACAGAAAACAGTTTCTGTAAAGGAACAACAGCAGCAGATTTCCGACTTCTCTAACACCTGATGCCAGCGACCACGTCTCTGAAGGAAAATGTTGTGGCTCCAAATTCACCAAGTTGGTCCTTCAAGTGCAGAGAAGCAGAAAAACATTTTCAGATCCATAAAAGACTCAGAAAAATGCCTACATACCTTTCATGGAAAAGGGAGCTTCTGTTGCATTTCAGCCACCTGAGAGATGAATGAAAATAAACTGTAGAAGAGAAAAATTGTAATTTTAAAAAGACTGGCAGTGAGCGATAAAAACATTTAAACTCAGAGTTAAGTCTAGATAACTAATTATAGTTATAAATATTAGGACCATGTTTCCTACTTTGATCTAAGAGTCTCCGAGTGCCTTAAATCTGGTAACTGAATCAGTGCATGTTGGATGCTAGGGGCAAAGAACATACAGGAAATGGCCAAAGAAGAAACATCAGAGACACTGAAATTGTAGGGAAGCCCCCTCAGGAAGCAACTAATGTAATGCACTTAGGTTCAAGTAATCCAATTAAAAAATCAAATTTCCCTGAATGGACTTGTCTTCCAAGAGATGAAATTCAAATTAACATTGATAGAACTGAGATCTGTATAAAGGACAACTGGAGCTAAGAGGAGGGGCCGTGTTCCGTGGGAGGAGTTCCAGGAGGAGCTTCCAGTAACAGCATCAACATGACGTGAACTGGAAATACTCTGTTACTAAGGCCAGCTTCTCTGCCCTTGTCCTGCTAAAAGGAGCCATGTGTCAGTATCGAGAGAGAGACGTACCACTTTTCCCTCTGCAATTTTGAGAGAAGTCGAATTTGTAGCATATCACCCTGAGAGTCTGTTTCAACCTTGGAAAGGACTAGTGTCAACCACTGGAAAGTCGAAAAATATTTGTGAAATGAATTTTGACAGGTAAATGGTTACAGTGAAAAAACTATGAATATCGTTTGTGATTAAATAAATAGAAGGGACATGATGAGAAGTAGCATGGTGAGCCAAAGGATTTGGCTTCCTCTTTGTCTTGAGGGCAGCAGACTGCCCTTTGCCTTGCCTAGGTGTCTGCTCTGGGTAAGCTAGAATTAGGTCCACCCCAGCTGGTTTCTCTTCTCCGTGTGGTTGTGAGAGCTTTCCACTGCCCCCCGGGAGTAGCGGGGTGGAGGAGATGGAATATGCCCTCTGGGTGTTCCTGTCACAGCTGTGTTGTTTTTCTTGCCTAGTGACAGTTCCTCGGCCCTTGGATCTGGTCTGCCAGCTCAATGGCAAGCAGAATTTCCACATGTTTCAGACAGGCCGGTGGCACCCTTGCCTGATTTCCAAGGCAGATACAGGCATTCCCCTGCTTTTTCTTTTCTTTAGGCTTTTTCAGTGGGAACCAGGCGGGACCTGTTTGGGGAGGGATCCCTAATGTCACCTGTGTGTTCATCTCCACTGTGCTCTGACATTCTCCTGTTAAAGTTCTCTGTGACAAGAATCTCATGATTAAACCTTCCTTTTACCAAAACTAACATTTTAGAAGCCTTTCTGTACACCTTGCCTTTTCCCTAATCGTCTGATTTGCATGTATTTATTATTCTAGGTTGGCAACAGAGATGATTCCAATCTTTATATAAATGTGAAGCTGAAGGCTGCAGAAGAGGTAAAGGCTAGAACCTCGGTGCCGCCAGCCCCGCCCCACCCCCGGTCCTGCCTAGTACCTCCTGCCCTTTATGCCCTTCCCACAAATGCTTCTATCACCCTCAGCAGACTTGAGTTTTATCTACTTCGCAAGTCAGGACTGGGTGACTTAGAGCTTCAGCCCTTCAGGTCTGGTTTACCCTTGAATGTTTCTTCATCAATGATCTGCCTACTTCCCAAAGGGCAGGAATAGTGGATGTGAAATTGCTTGTGCAGTGCTGACAGTTAACAAGTAAATGATGAGTGGGTCAAAATGAGACTAACTCTTCAGAACGTAGGGTGAATGAGGCCTAACGCCGTGCGGTTTGTTTTAGTCATAGCTATGAAAGAAATGGGCCCATGTTGCAAGTTCTCTTGCCAAACACCTGTTTTAAATGTTCATTTTTACAGATTGGGATCAAAGCCACTCACATTAAGTTACCAAGGACTGCCACAGAATCTGAGGTGAGCTTTTAGGAACTGAGTGTTAAGAGGGCAGCTGAAGGCCTTCCTCGCTGGTTTTTGACTTAATGGAACTTGAGGGATCGATACATTCAGCGTTCAAAAGACCTCCCAGCAATTCTTTCTTCACAGACTCTGCCTCCAGAAAGTCTTTGAAAATACCTACAGCGTAAATGGTGCGGCACTAGGGCATGAATGTTTGCTACACAAAGTGCGATTGCATCATCATTTGTTTCCAGATCACCTGCAATGTTTATTAAAAACTGATCCTTGGCCTATAGTTACAAACATCTTCAAAACCAAATGCGTGTTCCATTTTATGGCTAAAGCATAGGCAGAATAAACATCCATGATTAAAGTCAGAACTGTGTTTCTTATAGGTGGGGGCTTAACTGAAAGGGCAGGAGGGAGAAAGATCTTGCTGAGGTCATGGAAATGTTCTGTATCTGCACTGTCCAATAGAGTAGCCACTAGAGGTCATGGACATGTTCTATATCTGCACTGTCCAATAGAATAGCCACTAGCCCCTTGTCGCCATTTAATTAAAAGGAAATAAAATTTAAAATTCAGTTCCTCAGTTATATTGGCCATGTTTCAAGTATTCAGTAGCCACTATTGTACTGTAAGCTGTAAATTATAGAACATTTCTGTCATCACAGAAATCTTGATTTGGATGATGGTAACATGGGTATTACTGTTCAAGTTTTTAGTTCTTTGATGGATTTCTTACAAGACCCCTGAAGATTACATTCTGTGTTAAAGTAGAGTTGCTCTCAGGGTTCAAGGGGAAGTACATTCTGAGAGGACTACAGTTAGACTGTTGGAGGGAAATGGGACAACATTTTATTGACTTGGAAAGTTTTTCTCCACCCTTTTGATTTCTATGTGGCATACAAATTACATGTGATACTCATTTTAGGTGTTAAAGTACATTAAATCTTTGAATGAAGACCTCAGCATACATGGGTTCATAGTACAGCTGCCTTTAGACTCGGAGAATCCCATCAACACTGAAGCAGTGGTCAACGCTATTGCTCCAGAAAAGGACGTGGATGGGTGAGTGTGGCTTGACGCTCTAGGTCACATTTGTGATCCCAACTATAATTTGTTTCTATGCCAGGAACACACCATATTTGCTTCTAAAGAACAAAAACACCTAATTCACCTTTATCTCCCTCTTCATTGTTTTCACTGTTTTAGATTGACTCACATCAGTGCCGGAAAACTTGCTAGAGGTGACCTAAATGACTGTTTCATCCCTTGTACACCTAAAGGATGTTTGGAACTCATCAAAGGGACAGGTAAAAACAGAAACCGAAAACAAAGCACCATTTCTTAGAGCCTGATCTTGACGTGTGGAGGTACAGAGGATGCACGTTGTGGGACCTATGTAAATGGACTTGATTGGCACAAGGACCTGTCTGCTAGGGGCTTTACCTACATTCTCACTTAATTTTCACAACAGGCCTATGAAACAGTACTGTAATTGTTCAAACGCTGAGAAAACAGGCTCAGAAAGATTGAGTAATTTGTCCAAGAAGCAGCAGAGCCAAGAAAATTTTTTTGTGTAAAAAAATAACCTATATGGTAGTAAGAATTGAGATAGTATATAAGGGTACAGAGTGAAATGGACCCCCTCTTGCAGTGGGCACCTAGAAGTCCTGTGGAAACAGGACTGCACTGTCCAATAGAATAGCCACTAGCCCTGTGTTTCCACAGGACTTCTAGGACTAGACAGATGGCTGAAAACAGTCTCTTAAAAATCAATTGGCTGTATTACCTTATTACCTAGTCAGCATCTTGGTATTTTAATGTCGTCACAAATGCTTTTAGAAGAGTGTTTTGTTTGGTGTTTTTTTTTTAAACAAGGAAGTGTGTCCTCTTTAGAGGAAGTGGATCAGAAGTTTCAAGTGGAAAGTGTTGGCCAATGCAAGAGAAAATTTTCTGTGGTTGCCGAGAAAAGGTCAAGCTACAAGCCTTGGGACAGCTATTACAGTTCAGTCCCTTAACTAAATTGATATTCTACAGCATATTTAACATTTTGCTACAACCTGATAAAAACAATGAGCCTCAGCAGCTGCAGGCTTCCCACTTCCTTTTACTGATAGCGATGCTGCCATTTGCCCTACTGCAGCTTGAAGTCCTTTGCTGAATTCTAGAGTATAGTAAGGTACCTTTTCAACACTTTAGACTTACAGAGCTTTGCTTCTAGATGTTTATGATGTTAGCATTATGTAGACACTTATCTTTTTTAGATAAAATTAATGTTTTGTAAGAAGTAGCAATTTAAGTACCAACTGCCTTAAGCAAGAGTCCACTTCAGCCACGACTAGGGAGAAGGGCTGAGGCAGAACCCTTAAGATTTTTTTCTGCTTTTTTCTAGCTCATTCTCATACTCCACGTGGTGGCCCCAAGCAGCTCCAGCCTTGTTCCATCCTTGTGCCTAACAGTCCTGGGATTGGATCTCACTGGCCGGGATGAAATATGATCACTTGTCTGCTATTGGGTGCCCACTCAAACCATCTCTTTAAGCAGAGTATGTCCGTCATGAAAGGACATTGGTATAGTGCCACCAGAATGAATGCCGAGTAGGCAAAAAGAAAGCTTTCTACCACAGTTAAAATTCCCCTTTATCGCTTCCCAACAAGTGACCCTATGGTCAGGCCCAAAGCCAGAAGAGAAATTTAGGAGAGGAACTGCATAGATAAAACTTAACAGAGTTGGAAAGAATCACCAATACTAACCTAATTCCCCTTACCCCATTACATGCCCCTTACTTGCCATAGCTGTTTTTCCCATGTAATTTAATCTGAAGTCCTCTTCCATATGGCTGTTTATCAGCTGTTGTGTCAGGATTTCTTTTTTCTTTGAGTGTAGGTTTTCTTCCCGCTCTCCTGTCACTGACTCATTGGATCTTGGCTTAGGCTGCTCTTAGCAGCCCACAGTAAGAAGGACACGTGTACAAGGACCAATTTGTAGCTAAAACCCTAGATTGAGAATATTATTTCCTAAGAAAGGGTATTTTTAGGAACGCTTCTTTTTGATGCTCAGCATATGTTTTTGTGCACTTGTTCCGAATTGTCCCACTTAGGTGGCATGTGAAAGAAGGCAGCTTCCCCGTCCCCAGTTTTCTGATGCGCACTGGCTTTTCTTTCAGGGGTACAGATTGCTGGGAGGCACGCTGTGGTGGTCGGGCGCAGTAAGATAGTCGGTGCCCCCATGCATGACTTGCTTCTGTGGAACCATGCCACAGTGACTACCTGCCACTCCAAGACTGCCAACCTGGACGAGGAGGTAGGGAGTCCACGGCGGAGTAGAAGATGATCTGTGTGTGCGCATGCGCATGCCTTTGTGTGGTGGGGTTCTTATTTAATGGAAATAGCAAACATTTAAGCGCCAGAAACTCCTATGCACTTTACCTCATTATCTCATTTAACCCCTGTAACAGTTCTATGGTTCTTGTTTCATTTTACAAGATGAAGAAACAAATCACATTAAGAAACTTGTCCGAGGTTATACAGATTTTGTTCTGACTATATTCTTTCTACACCAGTCCCCCATATGATAGGTAGGGATTAGCAGAATAAGAACTGGGATTGGCCCCTGGCAGCCAGATCCCAAATTGATAACAATGGTGACCTCAAATAAAGGTGCCCCAGTGGCGGATGTGGACAGAGGTCCTACAACATCTGTTGCAGCTTGTTCTTGGCTAAGCCCAGGGATTCTCATACATACACATCCCTGCTGACAGTGCAGCTTGTTAAATGTGGAGAGAGAGCAGGAGAGAGGCCCAGCACCTTCTCTTGTAATCGTCCCCAAGCAATGCTCCGCGGAAGGTGGTGGTTCCCACATTCCATAGGAGAGGGAGCCATCTCTGGATGTTTTGTCATTCAGGGACGTCATCTCCCTAGGCCTGCGGCTCCAAGCCCGTGCCCCTTCCTGTCCTACAGGTTCTCATCGTGTTCCCCATTTGGTAAAACACCTTGTGAAGGGGGAGCTTTTCGGCACATACAGGAGTGAGGGTAGCATATAAAGAGCTGTCAGTGAGTGGCCTGCAGAAAATAGCTGATGACAGTGAAAAGTTCATACAGGGATGAAAGGGATGTCCTTTCCACTTTTAGATGTTTTTTGTGTCACTGTTTAGTTTCTGAAGTCAGAATCCTGTTCCCGTAGGTAAGTAAAGGTGACATCCTGGTGGTTGCAACAGGTCAGCCTGAGATGGTGAAGGGGGAATGGATCAAACCTGGGGCCATCGTCATCGACTGTGGGATCAATTATGTCCCAGGTGAGTGTCGCTGGAGGAGGAAGGTGGTTTCTGGCGGAGGGCTGAGCGGAGGACGATGTCTAGGCCGTCAGATGAAACCTAAGTGAGAACCCCTTGTCCTGCTTTAGGCGCCAAGTGCTCAGGTTCCCTGTGATGGGCCTGCCCGTGGGTGCTTGCAGTTAGGAGGCAGCATAGTCACCGCTGTGCTGTCCGGCTCCCAAGATGACTTTGTCCAGGGAGATGGCAGAAGCGGGGCAAGAGGGAGGCCTCACTCTGTCTTTATGTACAGATTACCCCTTATTTTAACAAAGGATGGGTGGGTTTAAAATACAGTGTCATCTTTGCAAAGTGCTGTGAGACTTCAGGAGAGGGGCCTCATTCTGCCAAGAGCCCTCTAGAGGTCTTCACAAAGAATGCATTTGACCTGCTATTTTTCTAGGCGGAGAGGACCAAGCCAGCTTTCGGGCCATGTCCGTGGCTGTCCTTGGCATCCTGCACCCTCGTTCATGCCTCATTCCCGTTTTCGTTTATGAAATCACCTTTCTGCCTTCCCACGGGTCTAGGACCTTTTAGTTTCCCTCCCAATTATTCCCTCTATTGGATTTATTTTTAAATATTAGGATTTTCCCTCTCTTGTGTAATCAGTGTCACCAGTGAGTGTAACCCTCTCAGCTGGGTGGACTCCTGTGAATTTCTCACTGGTCTGACTCCCACTTGGATCTGTCTGTATGCCTTTGGCATGTTCACATTGACACGGGCCCGTGAACTCCCTCCTCCCATGTTACTTGTCAGATTCCTTAGCCCTGTACTAGTTTTAGCCACCTCTGCGGCCCTTTTTCTCACGTGTACTTTATGAATGAATACCTGTCTTAAACTGTCGTAAACGGACCACGTGCCTTCCCACACATGCCTGATTTGTCCTTTGCAGCCTCTACGCCTGCATCTTTAGCGGAGGAGGCTCTTATTTCTTCATGAAGTTTTCAGACATAAGTTTGGAAGGACAGGACAGTGAATAGTGGTATACACACCTCACAGATTTGAGAAGGAACCATCTTTAATTGAGGGACTGTCTCTCTGCATCAGGCGCCACCCCAAGCCTTGGGCTACACAAAATTGCGTTTCTTCAGCTGTGATCTTCACTTTCAACCACTTCCTCCCCACCTCCTCTCTGTCCGAAATGTCCCTTCTTCCTTCCAAACCTTGTCTAATTCCCCCTCAACAGGGGATGATCTCTCCTTTTTAAAATCCCCTCCCTCCTTCCATCCCATCCCATAGAACTTGTGTTTCTTGCGTCATGTGTGCCTCATACTTGGTGTCCTGTGCTCCCCTCCACTAGTTCATCAGCCTCGGGGCGGTGGTCTCTGTGGTGCCATGTCCAGCGCAGGCCTCCTTACTGCTTGCATTCGTGTCTGTTCAGTTGTTGAAAGGAGTTACAGCAAGAATAATCTCTTCTAACCCTTCCCATTTTATGTTTGAAATACAGACACTAAGCTGCCAGGAATATTAGTCACTGTCAAGCCTTCACTGTTTTTAACCTGCCGCCCACTCTCCCTACCATGCTTTTAAGACAGTAGCGCATAATTGAGCGCTCATTTTTTTTTTTTTTTGTAGTGTAATTATCTAATGGGTGATTAAAAAAAAGTGCTCACCTACAACTCCTCACTTTTGAGTACTTGGAATATGACATTCAAGCGCATTCTGTTTAAAACCTTACATCTTCTGTAAAATATTTCTGCTTTGGGCATTTTTTTTTTTTTTTTAGACCAGATTTGAGAGAGATGAGGAGACGCTTGGGTGGGGCTGTTAAGTCTTGCAGACATGTATGAAATGTTGGCTTAGACATGAAACTTACCATCCTGTTCACATTTATTCCTCATGGAGATGGTAAAATGTGAGGAAGACCAATGTACTATCTTCCTTCCTGGTCAGCTGTATTTTTACTGATCCTGGGCATACAAGTGAATAAATATCAATAAGGCTAGATTTTGTTTTTCCTCCAGAGTGGCAGAATCATTGAGTTGTAGACTGTGGGTGGGCTAGAGGACCTAAAGCCCCTTCTCCTTCTGGAAGGAACATGTTCCACAGCCGGGCCACTTCTTGGTTCACATTTTAGTTATTTATATCATTTGCATGGTCCACTCAGGGAAAACATTATAAGTCACTTGCCAAAAAAGAGAATGAATTAAAGTGTGTACTTTTTTGTCCCAAAAAAAGGAGTATTTTTTAAAGTTTGAAGTGCAGAGCAGAAAGAATTGACCAGAGAAGCATGTCACAGTGTTCTTCCTGCTTGGTTTACTAAAGATAATTTGAGAAGGGCTAGATTAATAGTAAGTTTTATTTGGAGGTGTTACAAAAAGAGGGAATAGGTTCCCCACCGTATTCTAACCTAATCTCAACCTATCCAGCACAGTGGCCCCTTTACTGGGTTCTGTTATTAGGGGTCCCCAAATTAAATGCGAAGGAGTCACGTCTCAGCTGGATCTTCAGTTGAATTTTGTACCTATAATTCCCAATGAAAGAGCAATTCTAGGCCTGGGGTATTTAACCAAGATGTTTGTCGGTTACTAAAGCCATATACATACTTAGATTGAGAAGTGGTCGCTTTTTCCACTGACCACATCATACTTTCCACGAAACACTGTACATCCATCAGAGAGTCAACCCTGACGGCGTTTGGTGAAGTAGCAAAACTGAGCTCATCCAGTGCCGCGTTTAGTTGTGCAGTAAATTGCTATGTCTCCTACACATTGAGAAACATGGAGAAAGTGACTAACATTAATAAATAGAAAGAGGTTCCAGGAGTATTTGAAGCTAACTCCAGCATTAGGTTATTAAAACCTGTACAAAGGACAAACCCTTAGCAGTATTTTCCTTGACTTTTTGAAACGACTTTAGTGGTTATGAGAGTAAATGTTCTGCCAGAGCTGCCGCTTTATAAGCTTCCAGAAACCTGAAAACTATCGGAGGAGTTTTTGTTTGTCAGCTCCTTATAGTACATATAGAAAATATTTTATTTATCTACAGTGGGAAGAGAAACTTATATTTGGAGAATGCTTTTTCAGTTTTAAGAATATGCACATCTTTCTCACTTGAGTCTCTGCACGCTTGTGAAATACGTAGTATTGATCTATCTTTGCATCGCTGGACGTCTGATCTGAAAGGAGCTCACAGGGCCTGAGGACTAGCAGTTAGTAGAAGAGCTGATCCTACGGCCTAAGTCTCTTAATTCTGGCCTTTTGGCTACAGCAAGCCCTCAGTTAACATTAACGGTACGTTCTTAGAAACTAATTTTAAGTGAAACCAGTTTTACTGTAGGCTAATTGATATAAGCAAGAATTAAGTTTTTATGGCATGTTGCTGGCCACAGAAAGCATCACCAAACCTCTCAATAAAGACTGATGCGCTTTTAATATTAGACATCGAAATAAATGTGAGCTATATGTACATTTAAGAAAGGGGAATAAAAGCAAGTAAGATCATTTGCCACCCCGCTTCTTCCAGCTCAGGGTCACAGGTGGCTGGAGCCTAGTCCTATAGCTCGGGGAGCAAGGAGAGAAGCACCCCTGGGCAGGGCCCCTTCTGTCCCAGGACACATCACGCCCACCCACACCCGCACCCCCTGCGGGATGATTTAGACATGCCCGTTCACCTCATGTGCACACCTTCGGGATGTGGGAGGGAACCAGAGAGAATCCACACAGACAGAGGGAGAATATGCAAACCCACACAAACAGTGGCCCCAGCAAGGAATCAGGTATATTTCTCATCTATGCTACAACAAAACGACATTGAATGAAATTATTTGGGGACCTGCTGTACTCTGATTCACCTTCTCTTAGCTGTGGTGATCTGATCAAAGAGGGGATGGTGAAATGTCTGAGGTCCTCTGAGATCCTGCCTTGGAAGCCTTAGGGCTGCCAGGTCTAGCCCCCTCTTCCAGCCCCTCCTGGAACTGCTCTGAAGCCAAGGGGAGATGTTTTTTGTGTGAGTGAGCAATGATGCATCACTGGGTTTTGTTCCTTTGAATAGCTATTCTTTACTGGTAAGAATTGTAGTTATTCTTGTGTCTTTTTTAGGGAAGTGTAATTATATTCTTTGCCTTGCACATACATTTAAGTAGCTGCTCCTCTTTGGAATTGGATGTTGAATTGTTCCTCCATCTCAGGCATGGAGCTTAGAAAATGCTGGCAGTTGCTGTAGAAACGGTATCTGGCAGCTGTGACATAGTTGAATCTTTGTGCACCCAAAAAATTCCTTTGTAGGCCTCAGCAAATTAACATTTTAAAAGGAGCTCATTATAAATTGGGTATTTGGTTTTAAAGAGTAAAAAAGAGTTGGCATTTTATTTGCCACCTGACAGAGTACAAAAGGATTCTTCTGGTTGTGAAAAACCATTTAAAATAAGCACCTTGTGAATTTTTGCAGGTAAGATCACTTTATCCCTAGGAAATAGCAAACACCTGTCATCCCATAGCTTTTAAGTTAAATAGGCACTTGAGCCAGATGGGGGGCTACCCACCCTAAATTTTACTTAGTTTTTGGAACGAGCGGTTGTAGTTAATCCCTTAAATTAGAAATAAAACCAGGATTACAATTCTGAGACTTTGCTTTGATTTTTCTCCCCGCCTTGACCAGACAACACTAAACCGAATGGGAAGAAACTTGTGGGCGACGTGGCGTACAGGGAGGCCAGGGAGAGGGCGGGCTTCATCACCCCTGTGCCTGGTGGCGTTGGGCCCATGACGGTGGCAATGCTAATGCAGGTGCGTTTGAATAAAAGTTTCTTCTTAGTTCTAGGAAACTGATAGAATTCAGGTTACTGCTTTTCTCCCCAAGTAGAAATGTCATAAAACCTGCTCAGAAGCTAAGTAAGGATATGAATCTGTTGAAGAAAAAAGTAGTGGAAGAATGGAGAAATAGAATCTGTCATGTTAGCAGAGGAAAGTAGGGAAGGCATGATTCTAGTTTACTCTGGAATACAGCTTCAGGAAAAGAAAAGTGCAAACACTTTTTAACTCACACTAGCTGATATGGGGAAAGGCAGGCAGCCCAGGATATGGTAGATGCCTATACACTCTTGCCTAAAATTGAAGCATGTTCATAGGTGGACCATAAAGCTGTTCGTTTTGTGATTGAACTTGAGTTACCCGGGATTAAGAAGTGAGGTGGAGGTTAAAATAATCACCTAAGTTCCATTTATATCATTTTGTTTAGAGCACAGTAGAGAGTGCAAAGCATTTCCTGGAGAAATTGAAGCCAGGAAAGTGGCCGATTCAGTATATCAAGCTTAACCTCAAGACACCTGTTCCTAGGTAAAAATAAAATGTTGTAAGTTTCAAACTTTGAGGGTGGTTGGTTTGTAGCCATGGCTATACATATACCCCTTCTGAAAGTACTGTCAGTGGCTGGTGGGGGGTCATTACTACGGTGGGATTAATTAATTCCATGAATAAAGATTGATTCATCTTTTCTGTATTTCTTTTAAGTGACATTGACGTATCACGATCCTGCAAGCCAAAGCCCATTGGTCACCTGGCTCAAGAAATCGGTCTGCTCTCTGAAGAGGTGGAACTGTATGGGGAAACAAAGGCCAAAGTTCTGCTGTCGGTGCTGAACCGCCTGAAGCAGCAACCCAATGGAAAATACGTGGTGGTGACTGGGTGTGGTTCTTACTCTTTTGCCGATAAAATCTTAATATTAATCTTGATGATTATTAGCAGGGCTTGCATTTGCACTTAGCATATATACATGGAGGTTCTTTTACTTTGTAGCATTTTCATAGGTATTTTTATCTGTTTTGATCCTTACAGCCACCCTGTGAGGTCAGAGTAGATTATAACCTTCAGAGATGAGAAAACTTGTCAAATTAATGGAAGAGCTGGACCCTAAAACCTGGTCCACATATGGAATTGCTTTTTTTTTTAAACCCCAGGTTCATTAATTCATTAGCTCTATTGAGCTTTTCTTTTTTTTTAAGATTTTATTTGTCTATTTTTAGAGGGAGAGGAAGGGAGGGAGAAAGAGGGAGAGAAATGTGAGAGAAACATCAGTCGGCTGCCTCTCTGCACGTGCCCTGACCAGGGCCAAACCTGCGACCTAGGCATGTGCCCTGGCGGAGAATTGAACCAGCAACCTTTTGCTTTGCTGGATGACATCCGATCAACTGAGCTACACCGGTCAGGGCAAGCATTCATTTTTATTGCTTGGCTGACATGTAGAAAAGCTAGTTTTTGAGACTAAATAGAGAAATTGAAATCCTAGCAGTGTCTCTACAAGGTAAAGTATATTTGCCCCTTACAGTGAGAAGAGCAGAAGCACAGCAGTGCTTGTGAATTTAAAATTGGGAGGAAATTTCAACCAAGACTCCTAAGATCCTTTTCAGGTCTTTTGTCTTTCTTATTATTCAGATTAAGAATCATCCTCTAGGACCTGTTAGGTCTGACTTAGTGATTCACATCAATTTAATTCCCCTGAGTGTAATTTTCCTCTTTTGCTTTCATCTTGAAGGATAACTCCAACCCCCCTGGGAGAAGGGAAGAGCACGACCACCATCGGGCTGGTGCAAGCCCTGGGTGCCCACCTCCAGCAGAACGTCTTTGCGTGTGTGCGGCAGCCTTCGCAGGGTCCCACCTTTGGAATAAAAGGTAGCGCTGGGACTGGACCTCGGGGGGGCCAGAGTGCACCTGCCTCTCCTCAGGCTTCCCTGGCCCTCTCGACCCATGAATGCTTATGGGGTCTTCAGCCTATTCAGACACGAGGAATGTCTCCCTCACACCCACCCTGTCGTGGTGCTTCTGGTGAAGGCTTTCACTGGATCGCCCCAGCTCCTGCTGTCACTCCCTGACACTGCACAGGAATTCCTGTGATGGGGACTCTGTGGGCAGATGTACTTTTATATGACTAATGGTCAACTGTCACAGTAACAAAGGTACTCATAGCTACCAATCACCGTGCTGACTTTCTAGAGACATGGGCAAACCCTGCAGATATTTTGCCCTGTGGGAATAAGGAAAGCCTGCCCTTATTGAGTATGTGCATTATGCCAAGTTTTGTGCTAAGCAGTTTATGCATATTATTTTATTTTCTAATATAAGATAGTATCTCCATTTTACAATAGCAGCAACTGGGACTTCAGAGACAACTAGGTCAGAAGCACTATTCTTCAGTACCAGAGTGGGCCCCCATGTTTGTTTCAAGCTCTAAGGCAGTACCATCGACACAGTTTTATCTTGTGCATAAAAATACAATGTCAGTCACTGAACTTCACCTTAAGTTTTTGATAGCTACCGTTCTGCAAACACGTTCTTTTAATTAAAATTATTTTTTATTAATTATAATAGGTTCTTAGAGTTAGCTTTCTCATTTGCTTTGTGGTAGGGTATCGCATATTCTGCATATTCTAATGATTACTACAAATGTTAACTCAGGCACACCTTTGCTCTTCTGCCTATTGTTTTTTGATCTGTTTCATAAATATGCTTAGTTCTGCTTTTGAGCTTAAATCCCTTTCAGTGTCAGAATCAACCTTTTCCTTTGTTCTGCTTGTTGAACCCAATATTCTTTTCTTCGTATCACAAGTTACCCCATCTTTTCATTGCGTGGTCTCTGCCTCACCAAAAAAACCCAAGAAAAAAACAACCGATATCTCCAAACCCTGGATTTTTTTTTTTTTTTATTGGCCTTTGGTGAATAATCCAAATACGCCAGCAAAAATCTAGCAGTTAATATTTTCTCTAACATATGTCTCCTATTTAGGAAGAATCGCAGTCTCCATGTTGTTTGGTGTATGTATTTTAAATATTGCTTTATAAAAAATGCCAGAGTAGTGTTTATGAGGGTGGAAAATTGAACAGGTTTGCCTTTATGTAACTGTAGTCTGGGTCTTTTAACAGATGTTAGGCATCACAGGAAACCTGTTTCTAAAGATACTGAGTAGGTATGTGTATGTTCATGGTTTGTCGGTTAGACTTAGATTTCAATTAAGAGACTATTCAGCACAAGAAATCAGGTGTTTTTAGCTTGGTAGAAAAAAATTAAAAACACTTTTTAAATGTTTGTAAGAAGTAAATAAATAATACACATAGCAATTACAAAAATCGATTTGATTTCCTCTTTGTGGAGAAACATGCTTAACATATGCCTCACCCTTGACCTGTCCTCTAGGTGGCGCTGCAGGTGGTGGCTACTCTCAGGTCATTCCTATGGAAGAGGTAAAGTGCCCCAGGATTTGGTTGAATCAGACCCTTTATTATAGTTTTTCCTCCCTGAAATTAATCTTTATTGTAGAGGTCTTAGTGGACAAATGACTTGTTTTCCAACAGAAGCGACACTTAAGGGAAAAACATCTTAATTTGCGAAGTTCTGAGACAGCTTAGTTTTTTGATATAAAAAGGACTTCAATCTCATTTTCAGGGGAAAATTAATAATTTTAAGAAAGTGATCAAATGAAGCATGAAATTGGGAAGAACCAACATTGAGTAAATTCAGAGTAATAACTGAAGAAATGTGAGCAATGCATAGGCATAGAGTTGGGTTGCTCCACTGTGCTCCTTGCTCGCTGTTTAAAGGGCATTAGTGTGTCCTCAGTAACCCGGTGCTGCTGTTGGTCCCAGTGGTATGGTGTTTGTGGTGACTGGACTGTCACTTAGGGAAAACCACCATTTCTTCTGAAGACAGTAGTTTATGTTTCCAAGGCCTGCCTGTGCTGGGTGTTTGCCCACTGGCTGTGCTGCCATCATTTGTCCATTGACCTTAACTTAGGGATGGGTTTGGTTGCAGTGGGTTGACTGTTGTAAAGTTATAGGACTGACGTGTCTTCTGCTCTTCTGTAGTTTAATCTGCACCTTACTGGTGACATCCATGCCATCACTGCAGCTAATAACCTCGTGGCCGCCGCCATTGATGCCCGGATATTCCATGAACTAACCCAGACTGATAAGGTGTGGCGCTGAGGCCCCGTGGGCACTTTGGAAAGGGTTCAAACCTCTGAATTAATGTTGGTCCCGTGGGTGCTGCTGGTGCAGGTAGCAAAGCAGAGGGGTTCCTTTCATTGAAAATTCCTTCTCCTTGTTTTCTTTAAGGCTCTCTTTAATCGTTTGGTACCATCAATAAATGGAGTGAGAAAGTTCTCTGATATCCAAATCCGAAGGTTACGGGTAAGCTTTTCCCTGTTAAATTTTGATATTGATATTTTATGAAATTGAGTAATTGATAAGAGGTAAAAATCTCCTTGGAGTAGCCTATTTTGGATAAAGTTACATCCATAACCATAGTATTAAGGTCATTATATACATAACAGAAATTGGTGGTAGAGGTTATTTCTCATTTACCTATAAATTATCATTGGTTAGCCTTGAAATAAAGCACTGGCCACTGGTCCTCAGCTGCAAAGACAGCACTTCCTCTGAAGCACGGACAGGAGTCAGGATGTCATCGTGGCAGGAGAGCAGCTTTTGAAGTTTCAGTCTCTGCTCTTCCCAGCACTGGCACCTTAAGCAAGAATGGTTACTTCCATATCTACCTTGAGTTTCTATAAAAAACATATAGTCATTAAATATATACTATACCAATTACATAGCCAGAAATCTCACTTCTAGGTATTTGTCCAAGAGAAATGCGAACTTGTAATCATACAAAAACCTGAATGTTTTTAGTGGGTCTATTAATAATCCTCCAATCTTGATTCTGTAAATCAAGAAACAACCCAAAGGTCCTTCTTCAGTGGATGAATGGATAAGCAAACTGGGACATCCATAAAATAAAAAGGAATGAACAACACTTGTGTGTATATCAACAACAGTTAATCTCATTCTATTTTTAGTTTTTACAACTTGATATTTTGATATTATAAGAATAATACATGGAGCTCCCTTTACCCAAATGCATCGTTTACATTTTGCTCTACTTGCTTTACAATTCTGTCACTGTTTAGGTATATGCATTTTTTTTCTAGACTTGAGGAAAAATGGCTTTTATACAGTGTGATATTCCTTAGCTTATTTTGTTTTTATATCCCTTCCCCCAATCCTATGCATTAGGTAAGGCAACTATTACTCCAATTTATAAAAGAGCTGTGTTCTGTGAAGCAGCAAAGCACCAGGAAAAGAACCAGGAACTTCTAATCTTGCCTTTGTTGATGGAACTTGCTGTCAGATATGGGGAGGTGCTGGACTGAATATTTAAATGATCCTTGGAAAAGCTCTAGGATTTGAAATCCAGGAATTTGTCCAAGGCCACACTACCCCTCAACAGGTTGCACTTAGATCCTCAGTCTCCTGTCTCATGGGTCCCCAAGCATCCTCTGTGGCACAGTGTTAATTGCAGTCTGCCTCCCGGGTGCTCAGTCAAGTGTGGGTTGTCGTCAACAGATTTTTGTTTTTGTCTGTAAGCAATGTCCTGTATTAGGCATGCGAGGCTTTTGGACAAGCCAGTGTGCTCCAGCCCTGAAAACAAATCTGAGGTTTTAAAAAAGTCCTCAGAGCACAGGAACAGAGCTATGGAAAGAGAAGGGCTTGCTGGAGCCCAATCAGACCTACCGGGAATTAGAAGAAAAGGAGATTACATTTTATAAGCATTTTCTATTTCAGGGTGTGACCCATGAACACACTGTAATTAAAGAAAATTGCCAAGTTCTGTGAGGAGGAAGAGACAAACCCTTTTTGCGCCTTTTGAAACAGTAAGAGGGCTGTGAAAGGGAAGTGCTACATAAAAAACATGTTCATGTAATTTACATTGATTTTTGTTGATTTATACTTATTTTTGCCCTTCCTAATATTGTATTTGAATTGGGCTTCTTAATTGTCTAATTAAATAGCTCTGCACCCTGCTTTTGTTTTCAGTGTGTTTGGGTTTGGTGAATTAGGTACAACACTTCTAGGTTTAGAGAAATACGTCTGATGCTCAGCTATAGGGACAGACATGTTACTAATCTTTGTACATGGGTGAGTAGGAAATAAAGATTTCATGAAAGGGATTGTAGTTTTCCCTTCTGAATTTAACATGGTTTCTGTTTTCTAGAGGGGGACACTCTGGAGATAGGGAATCAAACATTTTTAAAAATTTATTATGCTTTTTTTGTTTTGTCTTATTTTATATTTTAATTTTACTACTTTTTCAGAGACTAGGTATTGAGAAGACCGATCCTACCACACTGACAGATGAAGAGATAAACAGATTTGCTAGGTTGGATATTGATCCAGAAACCATAACCTGGCAAAGAGGTACAGAGCCCTGTACATGTCCCATGTGTTTTGGTTATACTGCACACCCCACAACCTCTGTAAGAGTTGTTAAAATGTGAGGTCTGTAAGCTGTGTATCAGTATTTTCATGGTTAAGACATGGCCGAGATGGTGGCTTACTCATATTCCTGGCCATCTCCATCAGTCTCTCTCCTTATTAGCTGCAATCAAACCTCCTTTTGTTGGGTTAGCTGGACATTTGCTGGCTATTCTCTGTTGATTGGAGTGAAGGTGGTTTCACAGAAGTTCATGCATACACCAAAAATAACATTTTGCAAGTTCTATTTTATGCAAAAAGTTTAAGTGTCATGAGGTAGAGAAATTATATTTAATCGCTTTTTGAATCATGTTGCCCTTTATTCTCAGAACTCTTGTCTGGAATAAGTGACTTGATTTTTCTTGTAGTTCTCTAGCTTGCCTACTCCTCTTTTTCTCATTTTATTAAACCCTCTTGTAACAAAGCAGGTAGCCTTCAAGTTTAAACACTTAGCAGTTTGGTGTGTGAGCTGCCTGGCTTCACTGCCATATGTTGCTTTTCTCTATGCAGCCAGCTCAGCTTAGAGTTTTATTTTGTACCAACAGTGCATCCGTCTATCCTGCATCACTGCTGAGAAGGAATTTTCATTGAGTCATGCAAAATGCAATTACCAGCCAATTTATTGACTGTATTTGTGATTTTTCATTTGCTCAATAAATGCTGCTGGCTAGTGGCATTTTTAAGATGACTCTCTTAAATATATAAAACCATACTGATACTTCTCTTCCTTTGCTTCAACAGCTTTTAGACAGATGGTATATTTTATGAAGAATAAGCTAAAGGTCTATTTTGAAAGTTTAGTATCTCATTCACTTTTCCTTTGCTTTAATTTCTAATTTATGCTTTTCAAGAAAGCAGAAGGAGACTAGGGGAAAAAATAGATCATACCCATTGACTGGCTATTTTATTCAGAGGAATTAGGTACTTGGAACTTGATACTATATTATTTGAAAAATAAGGGTAGGCTTCAACAACACCTAACATCCTTCACTTATCAAGTGGAGTGTGTTAGTGTCTCCCTCTGAGTGCTATACAAGACACTGCATTGGGTGTTTATTTGCCTTTATGGAAAATAATTTGGCATGTTTTCAAGTGTCTTAAGAATACCTCTCCTCTTTGACCCATTTAGAATGTAATTAGTGTATTGTTCATTTTATATTTTGTTATTGTTTGGCACTTCATACAAAAAGCAAAATTGGAAATACACTAAAATGTTAACAGTAATTAGTCCTGGGAAGTAGCAGTAACATTAGTTAGCTGGTTGACTTTTGCTATGTTTCTAAGGGTATAGAGTTGGATAGGTATTCTGTCATTGGAATGGAAATTATTTCTTCTTGGTGTGCTGAAGGAAAGAGAAGGTCTGTTACCCAGCATGCTTCGAAAGGCATTTGCCTGGCCCTGCGTTTTCATGGCTCTGTGTTTCTCAGGATGGTATAAGGTCAGTGAGTCATCCCACAGAACAACAGCACAAACATCTGCCTTTTGAAAAACTGCAGCATGCTGTTTTTCTTGAAAGATTGAATGGGCTTTAAAAGAGGTTCTATCTAGATTTCTAGCTGTTTGAATTCTCTAGACAGAATAAAACCAAGCCAGTCCAAATCTCTTTCTTTCAAAATAATTCCTGTACATTTATGATATGTGCACATCATTTCTTAATTTGAAGCCACAGTCTAGGCTTGCCATCAGTTTTGAAATCAAGTATTAATAGCCAGACATTAGGTTGGACTGGTTGCTTTAAAAATTGGCTGGTTCCTTAAACTTTATGTTCCTTTCACTAAACATTGTTCTATATCCTTTCTTTCTGCTGTAGTGTTGGATACCAATGATAGATTCCTGAGGAAGATCACAATTGGACAGGCTCCAACAGAGAAAGGGCACACACGGATGGTAACTACTTGTTCTTTTTTAAATAAATGAGTTCAGATGAACTAAATCCTTGCTCCTTCTGTCCTCCCCCCTCTCCTCCCATCTGACTGAGACTGCCAGGTGTTGTTCTGCCTTCTCCCTTTTAAAATGGAAGTGAGTAGGTGTGCGGTATTGAGCACTCCCGACAGCGTGTGCAGTAAATCCCATGTGTCACCTGTGTGTTTTTCCCTGAGCATTTTTTCCTGGAGGAGGAGAGCCCCAAGTGAATATCTCTGCACACAATTGCTTAAAATTGCTTCTTTTTTTGTGGCCATTTTGTGGTAGGACTCTTCAGTGTAAGAGCTTCCGGGTTTTCCCTTGTATGTTAGGGAAACCATAACTACAGGATTATAAGCTGCTTTTACAGGGGTTGTTGGTCCTACTAGAATATTTATCTTTAAAATTTGACTACTCAAGGTCTTTGAATAGTTAATTAACAAGTTATTTTAATTAAGTTCATTGTGTACTACTGTTATTTTATCCATTTCACTTTTGCGGTTCGCCCTCTGGTTTAACGAAGCTTTCCCTGTTGTGTTTTTTTCCTTCCAACAGGCCCAGTTTGATATCTCGGTGGCCAGTGAAATCATGGCTGTCCTGGCGCTCACCAGTTCCCTAGAAGACATGAGAGAGAGACTGAGCAAAATGGTGGTGGCGTCCAGCAAGAAAGGGGAGCCCATCAGTACAGAAGATCTGGTGGGTGCCCCAGCGCTATGGCCTGTGATGCACCTGTGTCCATTGTCCTAGGGTTTCTCAGCAGTTACTAATCACAAGAATTATGCTGCAGTTAACTAATAAATTTAATACGGTTTCATTGCTGACAGAGTAATTATGAAATGTATAAAATTTACTTCATAGTAATAGGTAGTATGCTCCAGTAACTGACCACAGGTTTCAGATGGTTCAAGCAGCATCTTCAACCTGTGAATATTCCCAAAAGTGGGTGTATGACTTCAATTTGCAGAGGACAGCAAGAGTCCGGGGGAGGCCTTCAGCAGCTGAGCTTGAAGTCACGCCCTGGCCTCTCCCCAGGACAGGCCTCCCCCGAGGACAGGCCTCCCTGCACAGAGGCCTCTAGTCATGAGGTTTGTTGGCCACCACCTTATCCATGCTAAAAACCACATTGGGAATAACTCATTATCTAGTTATCTGATGGTCCTACTAGGCTAGTTCTTCTGATTGATTTCTGAACTGTCTGCATGATAACATGAAGTTTGAAATGAGATGATCTTACAGATTAATTTTTTAAAGGTCTATTTGTGTTGATATACACCATAATGGTTGGCCTGTGATTAAGCAGGCAGGTATATCAGGTGAACTCAAAAAATGGGGAAAACGTTAATATCCTGTTTTCATAGTTATTATATGTAAAAAAGGGAAATTATTTTAAATGTTCACACCCAAAGCAGAAACTTAGAAACTTATTAAAATGGAATATTTCTGGCTCCTGACCAGTGTGGCTCAGTTGGCTGAGCGTCAGCCGTCAGAGCTCAGGGTCACTGGTTTGATTCCTGGTCAATAGCCCATGTCTGGGTTGCAGGTTCAGTCCCCGGTCAGGGCACGTACGTACAAGAGGCAACTGATCCATGTTTCTCTCTCATATCAATGTTTCTCTCCCTCTTTTTCTCCCTTACTTCCCCTTTCACTAAAAATAAATAAAATCTTTTTAAAAAGTCTAATATAACTGAGATCCATAGTTTTATCGTACTTTGTTACCAATTTGTTCAGCTCTGGTTGGAGAGCTTAGAAAAGGGACCTGTATTTAAAGTTGGTATTGAATTCCTAGGTAAATTTTTAGTTTCTGCTTTGGGAAACACGTGCTGACTTTGGTTTGCAGCCATTTCTGCCCAGACACCAAAGTTACAAATAATTCAGTACTCAAAGAACTAGTATTTCTGTGCTGTAAACTAGTCTGAAATGGATTGCCCTCATTCATGCTTGTTCCCAGAATTAAATGTTTTTCCAAAAATTACATATGAATGTCATTTTTATTCTAGCTGTTCTTTGTGCTTAAAATAACTGGTAACTTCAGAGTATATCCAGAAAAAATAAATAAATGAATAAACGAATGGTCTAGTTCAGGCGAAAGTACTGATTGGTCCAAGATGGCTAAAAAAGGAAGACCTAGGAGAGTTGAATTTTGGTTTTGAAAGGTTAGTTTTTTGCTGGTGGGTATTGACACGTCATGCCTCTGCCTTGCAGGGGGTGAGCGGTGCATTGACCGTCCTCATGAAGGATGCAATCAAGCCCAATCTCATGCAGACATTAGAGGTGAGCAGAGCGACTCCTGACTTTCTGGATCAGTTTTGTGTTCACACTTTCCTTGGCGAGTAAAGACCTTTTGTACTTGCTCATCTCTCTCTTCTTTCTTTCTCACAGTCGCAATTTGGGCATTACTGTCATAAAAGAGGCAGCTTCTTATTTAACCCTTTGGGATATCTTTTTTTTTTTTCCTGTGGAGTGCAGCTGACTGTGTGATCCCATTTTGAAGCAGGATTGGCAGATTCACTCATGCTGTCTTGATTTCCACAGGGCACTCCAGTGTTTGTTCATGCCGGACCGTTTGCTAACATCGCGCACGGGAATTCCTCTATCATTGCAGACCGGATTGCACTCAAACTTGTTGGCCCTGAAGGATTTGTAGGTGAGTGTTTTTGCACAGTCACTGAATAGATGGTATGTTTTTTAACATCAAGGGAGTTGAGATAGCATTTTTACAGTTGCTTTTCTCCTTAACTTACAGTGACTGAAGCAGGATTCGGAGCAGACATTGGAATGGAGAAATTTTTTAACATCAAATGCCGATATTCTGGTCTCCGCCCTCATGTGGTGGTGCTTGTTGCCACTGTCAGGGCTCTTAAGATGCACGGAGGCGGCCCCACGGTGAGGATCGGGAGTAGGAAGAGGCTGATTGTCAGGAATGTTCTGAAGGCTAAAGGGAAGCTGGGTGACTTGTACCTGTTTCTTCATTAAGTGGCTGTTATCCTCATTATTAATAGGGTGTCTTTGGCAAGGGACATTTAGAAAGCTCTTCTGTGAGCTACCTTTTCACACATAGGCACTACCAACTCTCGGCATTTTAAGAGGGCTGAAATTGGCTTCATGGCCCACTTTGCTGAGGAAAACATCTGATAATATCTAAACCCCACCGAGGACATGTGCTTGCTATACCCACAAAAAACTCCTTATGTTCAGACCGTTCTTGTAAAATCTCAGTCCCATTCTCCCTCTGAACAGTGACAGTGGCAGCCAGCCAACCAAACCATTGAGCTGAGACAGAGGTCAGTCCCTTCTGGAGAGGTGCATGCTGGGCAGGAGGGCCTCTGACATCCTGGAGTGGAAGGGAGGAGAGGGACAATGGTAGAGATGCCCAGCACTGCCTGTGGGTAATAGAAACAGGTTAGGGCTGGTTATTTTCAACTCCCACCTGAACTTTGTGTTTTCCTGAATACCTATTGGTTAGAAATTTCACTTGTTATACCGTTATCTTAACACCTTTTCTTCAATGCCTGCATGTGAAGACGTGGTGCCAGCCAGTGTTCAGAAATTACTTGAAGAAGTATTAAATTCCTGTCCTCTAGGAGCTGGTCCTATAACTTGAGAAATATGACCTCACTCACCCAGAGAACAAAATCAGTATTTCTTAATGTAGTGATCAATATAGCAGTTCTCAAGCATTTGAGTCTCGGAATTTCTTTATACTCTTAAAAATTATTGAGGGCCAGAAAGAACTTTTATTTAGGTGGGTTATATCTTTTGACATTCATTATATTAGGAATTAAAACTGAGTTACATATTAACATAAGTAACTTTTTTAGTGAAAAGTTACTATATTTTTCAAAGCAAAATTTAGGCATTGTACATTTTTCAGATCTTTTCAGTATCTGGCTTAATTGAAGACTGCTGGATTCTCATCTGCATTGGATCCTTTGTGATAGACCATGTCACATAATCTTTGGAAAAGTCCATTGTATACTCATTGCATACATTGACATTGAGAGTAAGAGTGAGAAGGGTTATGATATGTTAGAATTATAATGGAAATAGTGTTGGTATTATGGGCCCCAGGAAAGGGTTAGGTCTCCAGGCCTCCCTGTGAGAACCGCTGCCATACCACACCCTCAGCACACCTCTCTGGTCTTACTTGTCTCCGAGGTACCAAAAGCACCCTTAACTTGGACACCCCTTCCTGCCAGCAGTGTGGGAGGACTCCCTTTGCCTTCCCCATCATAATCAGCATTTTCCTCTCTTGCACTCCCTCAACTCACTCTCATGACTTTATACCTCTGCTTTTCTCCTAACCTCCCAGTCCAAAAGGTAATGCCAGGAATTGAACCTGGGCAGCACTGAGAGGAGGGTTATACACACACATCTCTCTGCCAAGGAGCCAGCCCTGCTGCTCACATTACCTTGTGGAGCTACATGTGAGGCCCAGAACAAGGTGGCTCGCGTGCCTGCTTTTAGCCTCACCTCTCCGTGGCCCCTTTTGGAGTGGGAGCGCAGAGTCTCTCTGAGGAATGGGAGCAGACCATGCCGAAAAACTGAGGGCTTCTTAATCCCTGTCCATTGCCTACAGTAGGGTTTCTGGAATCGGCACCTTCACCCGCATGCTCATTCCTGTGAGTGCTGCAGCGACAAGCCACCAGGTCCCTCTGTACGAGTGAACTTGGCTGCTGAAGTATTTTGAGACCTTTACATACGCTGTGGTAGAGGAAGAGAACCCTGGTGTTGTTTCCCTGCTCGTAGTGTTGCCCATGCACCCCAGTTCAGCTCTGCCAAGGTGCGGGTTAGCGCTGCAGGCTGTCACAATCTTGTTGCAGAGCTTGTGACAGACTCCATCAGCGGACATGTCAAGGTGGCCTTTGCGGGGCTGACAGCTGCCTTTTTCCCTACGCTCACCTTTACTTCCACCCCCACTAGTGTGCTCATCACTCACCGAGGTTACTGCCCCCGCCTACAACACGCCCCTTCGTCCTGCCTTCAGAGATCTGTCCTTTGTCACCCTCCTCCCCCTGCAGTTCAGGCCACAAAGGCCGCCCCCCTCGCTCTCCCCAAAGCAGTCATTTTTGTTCTGTGCTGTAGGATTAGTCATACGCCCTAATCCTTAGTGAAGGAAACCACCTTTACTGCTCTATGTCCCCCCAAACCTGATGCTTCTGGCCTCTAAACCATGGCATGCAGCTTTTTAAGCTGGTATCAGGTTATAAATAGAAAATGCCTCTGACTTTGCTTCTTTTCCTTCCAGGTAACTGCTGGGCTGCCTCTTCCCAAGGCTTACATAGAGGAGGTAACTTCAGTCATTTCTAATTACTTGACCTAGAAAGCACCACATCCTGAATCAGCACATCTCAGCCCAGCGCATTTGGAGACGAGTGGGGGCATCACGCTGACGCAGGGGTGCTGTGGGAGCAAGGGGTGCTGAAGGGCCTGCGGTGCGCTGAAGAACGGGATTAAATGAAATGGGGAAGGAGTGCTTCATAGGACAGAATTGCGCCCCATAGGATATCCGTAAAACCATTACCCTAGATCAGCGATTGTTTCTCAACTGGGAGCTGTTTTTCCCCTAGGGGACATTTGACGATGTCTAGATGTTTTTTACTAGTATAACTCATGGGAAGTGCTACTGGAATTTAGTGGGTAAAGACCAGGGATGCTGCTGAACATCCCACAGCGCACAGGATAACCTGCACCCCAACTATAAGGAATTATTTGGCCCCAAATGTTAGTAGTGCTTACGTTGGAAAACCCTGCACTAGACTAATGGAAGTTTCCTTGTCTTCTCTGTATTAGCTGGTTGATTCCCGTATGCCATTCAAATCAGAAGCAAATACAAGGACCTTTTTTAAAATTTTTTTAAATTGCTATTTAGAGAGAGAATAAAGGAGAGAAAGACACATCGATTTGTTGTTCCACTTACACATTCATAGGTTTATTTTTGTGTGTGCCCTGACTGGAGATTGAACCTGCATCTTTGGTGTATTGGGACCTTTTTTTGAAATGTCTTTCCCTCTGCAGATTTAAATCCAGATTAAAGGGCCAAGATATAGTCAGCCTTCTGGTTATTTTTCTAGGCAAAGTTTCTATAATATGACTTGATTTATGGCATCAGGCAGGAGCTCAAAGGATTCTGAGCTTGAACCTTTTCATATTTATATTATTTACCATCAAAGAAATATCTCTAGAGCCAGTTTGGAGTGGTTATGAGAGAGGCCCTCAAATGAGCTAGTAAGGTCAGCTGCCATCACTAATTCAATTTTTCTGTGTTTTTTTTTGTTTGTTTGTTTGAATCTTTTAAATTGTCAAGCAACTCAGAGTCATTGTTTAGGCCCAAAATGAAGTATTTCAAAAGCAGCTAGAAAAGAATTGCTGGTGCCTTGAGTCTGCCTGTCTTCTGAGTTATGATCTGCCTTTTATGGTCATTTGTCTGATTCATGCGTAGGCGAGGAATTCACAGTTCTGGCCCTGCTGCCGCCCCACCGCCTTTCCTGTGTCTAATTAGAATGACTGCCTCTAACTGGCCCAGCTGGTATCTTCGTTTAAGAAATTCTACTTATTTAAAACTGTTGTCAATCAGTCTTACATTATCAGTTGGTTTTCATGTAACTAGAGGTAAAGTATTAGCAGTGCTCTTTAGAATATCAGCTAAATCCTAATCTCAGTTTTCAATTATTAAAAAAAGCATAAATCGTGTTTATAAGGATCTCATGTTTTCTACCTTTAACTTACCTATTTTTTCTGCTGTTTCATGGAATCCACAAACCAAGAGCTATTATTGCTGTTTTTTGCTCATGACCCAGTGTATATAATTTTATATACAACTATATTTTTATTTTTAAAACGTTTAATGATTTTTAAGCTTATATTAGTAACATACCCATTGTTTAAAATTTTATTCTTAATATATGATTTGAGACTTCTTTACAGTTTGGTACCTATTTCTCAACATTTAAGAAAATCTTCTGAATATATACATGTATTTTTGTATTTGTCCAAAAATGGAATTAAGTGCTCCTTATCTTTGCTACTTAGTACATCGTTGACAGGATCCCTGTGATAATGGATTATCTCCCTTTTCATAATATCTGCATGATACATATTTAATCAGAGTGTATATCATAAGCCCTCTCTGGAAGGATGTTTATGTTGTTTGCAGTTTTTCAGTGCTGCAGTAAACATATTTAAAAGTATGTTTCCTTAATTTCTTTCTTGTAAAGTACATACTACCTGGTCCTTACAGATGGCGTCCCTCTTGTTTTCTGTTGTCCCCAGTCAAGGTTCACAGTTGAGCTCAGTAAAACCTTTGAAGCATCACTGATTACTTCATGTTTTCTGTCAGTGCTTATAGCAGCTGTGTAATGAATGCCGGGCACTGTGCTAGCTTCTGTCTTCTGCTGGAAGGGTCTGTACAACACTGAGCTAGCTCATACCATTCTATCATATGAGTACATTAAAATATGTAAACACAGGGATTATACCTATAATGTATTTAAGGGCACCTGGTTCCCTTTAAGCAGCAAATACGCTATTGAGGTCTGGTGTGATGACAGCAAAGATGCCAGCCCTCGTATTTTCAGGACGCAGCTCTCGTGTTAACAGTCCACTCCCATGTTACACCTGGACAGGCAGGCACAGGGGTACAGGCTCCCCAGCGCACACTCACGGGTGCGAGAGGCGGAGCTGACCTGCGCCCTGTCAGCTTGTCCTGCCGGGGAGCAGCTCTGGCTTGAAGAGACAGGTTCCCTTTTAGGAAGAACCTGGAATTGTTTTCAGCTGTGCTCGCTGACCTCCCGGAAGGACCAACACTTTCACTGTTGTTACAGAACCTGGAGCTGGTTGAAAAAGGCTTCAGTAACTTGAAGAAACAAATTGAAAATGCGAGGATGTTCGGAGTTCCAGTAGTGGTGGCCGTCAATGCATTCAAGTAAGTGCAAAGTGTTAGAGTCCGGGGGACAGTGGAAAACAGTCAGGATACATCTCCTGGAGCTTTTAGGTTCATTTGGATTCAGTTACTCCTCTTGGTTGTAAGCCTGTACTTGGGGGCCATTTGGGGAGCCTGAGACATGGTGGACACCAGAGATGGCACAGGGAACTCGTCACCTCACCCGCTGAGAGTCCACGGTCAGGTTTGGCTCCCTTGGGTCCCCTTCCTCCCCACCAGGTGAAGTGGGTTATACAGAGGCCTGAAGTTACATGGTCTCCAGAGGGCTTTTGAACTAACAGAAGATCGGAGCCTTAAAAGTTTCATTATTTCACTGGGTCTGGTGGGATGTTGTCTATCAAAGAGTCGAACGTACTGAGCTGGAAGTGTTCCTGCAAGAGAGAACTTGTGTGGGTTGTTTACATGTTGTAATCCTGGTTTTGGTCTTGTTATAATGTCCTAGCCACAGCAGAATGGGAAGCAAATTTTCTTTTTTAAAAAACGAGTATTTATTGATTCTTATGATATGCCTGGAATGTTCTGAGTACTTTGCATGTATTTACCATCTAAGCCTCATGACATTCCAAACGAAATAAGTGCTGTGATTATTCCCCCTTTTACCCACGTGGAAATCCAGGCAGAAAGTCATGTCACTAGTAAATCGTGGGGCTAGGATTCAAACCCAAGCAGTGTTCCTTGATTAGTGTCCATTTATCAGCAGGTAATTCACATAGGTTTTAAAGGCAAAAACGAGGGATCCTGTCCTTGCCAGGCATTGTCAATGCTTTAACATGATGTGCTGCCTTTACAGGACAGATACAGAGACCGAGCTGGACCTCGTCAGCCGCCTTGCCAAAGAACATGGGGCTTTTGACGCCGTGAAATGTACTCACTGGGCAGAAGGGGGCAAGGGCGCCCTAGCCCTGGCTCAGGCTGTCCAGAGAGCAGCTCAGGCACCCAGCAGCTTCCGGCTCCTTTATGACCTCGAGGTGGGTTCTTTGGTGTATGCAGAAAGCCAGAAAGCACAGTGAGGTTTTTGTGTGGCTGCCTCTATTTAGGGCCCATGTTTAACAGCTTCAACCCTGTGGGTCTGAGTCGCACGTAGGTGAGTTACATGACTGCAGCCTGGGCCCTCGCGCCCGGACCGCTTTCTTACCAACCCGTGCTGCCGCCTACTTTCAGAGTCAACGGTCGGGTCCAGGCAAGAGCACCCCGGGAGGTTGGCTCACATCCTAACTTCTGGAAAGGCTCCCAGCACAGTTCCTCTGCTGGCAGGAGAAAGGGTCATGTATAGAACCAAGAGTGTAATTCACTACAGCTTTAGCCCAAGACACCAATCATATTAGGGCAAATTGGCAAGGGGCTACCTTGTACTCAGATAAGTTAGATAAGTTTCCCAGCTGCTTCCCAGTAAGAGGGGAAGTAGTATGCTCCTAAGTTCACTTCTTGGTACGGGGCTGCCTCAAGTTCAGAGAAGCCCTTAGGTGCAAAACCACACACCCCAGCAGGCTTTAGCATTGTTTCTATCACTGAGTAACTATATGATGTCTGGTCCAAGCAGAAGCACTGCTTATTCTGCATACAATAAAGTATAAAGTTAGTTCAGAGAAAGGTGGTTTATGTTACAGGGCTGTACTTTGTTTTCATTTCCCTGTTGATGTATTTCAGGATGTGACCGGGCATTAAGTAGTAGGCCCACAACTGAGAACTTCATTAGGAACATGGGATGGATGTGGTAGCTCATTCTGCTTGTATTCTCTAGGCTGGCTCTTGGCTTGGTTTTTAAAGGATAATCATAAACTGAAAAATAACCATAAAAAGGTAGAAGTTACTCTTGACTTTTAACATTCTTTTGTTTCTCTTTGCCCCTTGCAGATATTATACACTGACAGTTAGTTAATACTTCCCCGTTGGCACTGGAAAGGGACATTTTCCTATCGAGCTTTAGTTTCATAGAATGGTTTAAAAATTTGTTCAACCAGTGATCTTTTTAGGAAAGGCCATAAACACACATTCGCACACAGATGCAAAGCATTTCTAAGCACCCTCTCTAAGCCCCCATCCACAGTGCCTACTGTTAGGAACCCCAGGCCTTGAAGGCAAGCAAGAGACCTAGAGGAAGTGGGATAATGAGGACTTGTTTATAAGCCATTTCTTTGATTTATTTGTTTTTAGAGGGGAAAGGAGGGAGAAAGAGAGGGAGAGAAACATCAATGTGTGGTTGCCTCTCGTGTGCCCCCCACAGCCCAGGCATGTGCCTGAACTGGGAATCGAACCAGTGACCCCTTGCTTGGCGGGCCAGCATTCAGTCGACTGAGTCACACCAGCCAACGCTTTATAAGCCATTTCTACTTGGAACTTTGCTCTGCTCTGACAAAAAGGAGGCTGCCACTTTTTGTCTTATTCAGCATTTGTGGGTCTTAAATCACCCTTCAGCAAAGTACTTTTGCTTCAGAAGTTCTGAACATGCCTTGGCATTTATAGAGTCCAATTATAGGATGCATTTGAAAGTAACCTCTGTTACTGTTGCATCTTTATAAGCCATAATTGACTAGTCACTTTATTCATATCCATGATGCAAAGCCCTTTCACAAATTATCACGGTTTAGTTCAAAAAGGAATCTTATTTTTATAGATAGATTAGTATTCCTTTCAGAAAACAAAACTCACCCAATGTATTCTCTTAGCCTTAGTTGCTAGGGAGTATAGAGTCAGATACTGTTTATTTTTAGGAATTCGCTCATCCAAGTGAGCTATGAGCAGCTTTCCTTCCCATTTCCTTCAGGCAGTTTTCCCTGTGCTGTTCGCTGTGAGTCCTGGGCTCAGCAGCAGTGGCGAAGCCAGGGCCCTGGAGGACACATCCTGTGGGGTGGAGGCGCTCGGTCGACCTCTGGCCTCCATCCACTGCACTGTTTGCGTCAGGTGCCACGGGAGGCATATCCTTTCACACCATTCACACTGCGCGTTGGACATAGAAGTCACCAAATTGTTTTTTAAAAATTATTCCTAATTAACAGCAATTAGCAATCAGTATGTTGTGTTAAGGATAGCATCTGCCTCTTACATACAAACTGGGAATTATCTGGATGAATATTGGTTATCTTACTTTATAACAGTGTCCCAGGCCTGCTTTGATATGAGACTGTTCCCCTATCAAACATTACTTTTTACTTAGGAAGGAATAACCATTCTTGGGTAGTCAGCAGTATTGTTTGTGATGTACCTAGTGAAATCTTAAATACACACATAGTGACTTTACCTCTATGGGAGACTTTCCACTTACAAAATCTGGGGCTTGGTGTTGACAGAAAATGTTTCTAACCCAATAAACCTCAAACTATTTGTATATCTGTGTATGTATATAAAATCATCTTCTGGCCCTTTTGGAGACTGTGACCTGCAATGTGGCCAAGTGCCAGTCAAAGTCTCCCCTTTCTTTCCTGTCTTTTAGCTTCCAGTTGAGGATAAAATCAGGATCATTGCACAGAAGATCTATGGGGCAGATGACATTGAGTTGCTCCCTGAAGCTCAGCACAAGGCAGAAGTCTACACAAAGCAGGTAGATATCTGGTGGTTTTATTCTTTCAACTATTTATAAAGCAGGCCTTGGAGTCAGAAATCTCAGTGTTCTCCCAGCCCCGCCAAGCACCCACTGTTTTAGTTCCTCTAGGCAGCAGCCTTTTCTCCTCTGAAATAGTGAGTTTGGATTAGGTGGTCCACTCCCAAGCTCTTTATCTCCATGGATGGTATATCAGTGTGTGGAAAAGCCATGAAGAAATACGGGATGTCTTACTAAAATATTGAGAGCCTGCCTTGAGTTACATTGTCATGTCTGCTCCAAACTGTCATTTTTCACTTGGTTATATAGATGAAAATAAAATATTTACTTTCAGAATACGGTTGTGGATATTCCCTCATCAAACAGATTCTTTCTCCTTTTTTTAATCTATAATAACTAAGCTAGAGGGCACTGAGGTGGAGGTGGCAGCTATAAGGGGAGTTAGATGTTTCAAAAAAACTAAAGCATGCATGCGTCATGGGTTACAGTGTCGGCTTTTCATTTGTCCCACTTCTGTTCCCTTCTCTCCCCAGGGCTTTGGGAATCTGCCCATCTGCATGGCCAAAACACACCTGTCCTTGTCTCATAATCCAGAGCAGAAAGGTGTGCCTACCGGCTTCATTCTGCCCATTCGTGACATCCGTGCCAGCGTTGGGGCAGGTTTTCTGTACCCCCTCGTAGGAACGGTGAGTGAGTGCTGCAAGCTGAGAGGGGTGCTTCTTGTCCTTAACTGATTGTGAAGCCGCCAAGTAGATGTCAAATGAGCAGAGTTCATTGCTGAGGAGAAAGTTGGAATTGGGCCTGTTAGGACTGATCCTCTTGCTGTGGACCATCTTGGCGTCAGTCCAAGGATGATGCCATGATTAGTTGTCCTGAAGAACAGTTCTTACAGTGCGACCTTGACTGAATCCGGGATGGGCCTAATTGATACGCTATGATAGTGCTTATCTAGAATCACAATTGACCTTTATTGGGAACCTTTCACAGGTTAACTTGGTCCTCCCAGCAGCCCTGTGAGGTAGGGACAGAGGTTCTGCACCTCCAAGTCTTCTTGCCAGGCCTAGAGCTTATGCCTGAAATTCAGGCAATTCAGTTTTTGAGTAAAGAATTTCCCCCTTAAAATGTGAATGAACCCTGTAGATGTGAAAGGCGAGGTTACTTATTTACACTTCTCGAGGAATTATCAGATCCCTCCAAATCTTGTGGATTTTATGCAGATTAAGGGAGGAAAATTGCAAGGAAGGAGGTAGCGGGAATGCTTCAGGATGTAACCGCAGTTTGAACTAACTTGGTCCCAGGGTTAGCACTGATCCTGTGCCCAGGTTTCCCCTTTACATCCACCCGTATCCTTTATCTGCAGATTGTATTTACCTGCCTTCAGGATTGAAGTAATAAACTAACTTAATTTGCAATGAGATAGAAACCAACATTTCTCCTTTTGGAGCTATATTATTCTTTTCATATAGTAAGAAAGTGGTAGGAGGTGGCATTGTGGAGTCGGGAGTATGTAACGTTAGAGCCGAATCCTGCTTTCACCCCTGCTGATTTTGGCCTTGGGCTCATTACTGAAGATGTGGCCCGTTTCCTCTCAGTTCTCACTGTGGGGCAGAACCATCACTTACCAAGAGTGATCAGACGAGTGCCTGCAAACCAGTGCTCCCTCAGCCACTGCAGAGAGCAGGAGGTATAGCTTTGTTATGTTCATCAGTCCTTGGGGTTCATAGAAATTCCCGTTTAATAGGAACTATAAAGCATTTTACCCCGCCCCTTGAATGTTACAGAAACATGTGTTCTTTTCGCAGAAACTGTTAGCAGCTGCCTGCTGAAAGAGCAGTAGCTGCAGTCTGTATTGTCGCTTGTGACAGGTGCATGCAGAGGGCTGACCCTACCTGTGAAAGCCACACTGAAAGTGGTCAGGCCTATAGTTTGGAGAGAGACACACCCTGCCCAGCTCAAGATTCTGTCACCTAGAGGACACTCTTGCATGAGGGGCCAACTTGGACCAAGACGTTTCTGCACATAGCCTAAATGATTTAACAGTCACTATTCCTTTTTTTTTTTTTAAATCCTCACCCAAGGAGGATATTTATTGATTTTTAGAGGAAGGGTGAGGGGTGGGGAGACATCAATGTAAGAAAATATCAGCTGGCTGCCTCGTACATGCGCCTCAGCTGAGGATCAAACCCACAACCTATGTATGTGCCCTGACCTGGAATTGAACCCGCAACCTTTTAGTGTATGGGACGATGCTCCAGTCAGCTTAGCCACCCGGCCAGGGCAACAGTCACTGTTCTTTTTTTGTTTTTGTAAGAGAGAGGGGAAGGGAGGGAGAAAGAGAGGGAAAGAAGCATCAATGTGTGAGAGAAACACTGATTGGTTGCCTCTTGCTCGCCTCCAACTATGGGCCTAGCCCACAACCCAGGCATGTGCTCTGACAAGGTATTGAACCAGTGACCTTTAGGTTTGCAGGATAATGCCCAGCCCACTGGGTCACACCAGTCAAGGCAACAGTCACTATTCTTAACACCTCCTAATTGCTGTTGTAGCCTGAACAGGACTCAGGATTTGAGTGTTTTATGTATTAATTCAAGGCGAGGGGGCTTTTTTCTGGAGTTTATATCTTAGGTGAGTGTACACATAATCTTTTCATTTTTAAAAATGTTCTGATTATCAATATGACCAATGTTTAGGGGGAAAATCCTCTTTGGATAAGAGGAAAAATATTGAGAGTGCTACTCAATATTTTGAGGACCATCTTTCACATCTTCTGCGGTTGTGCTCATGCGTGTATATCTACATCATCATTATTTTTATAATGTCATCTTCAGGTTTTTCTGCTGGGTCTGAGGACGCATCCCTTCCTTCCCCTCCTTTTCCCACACCCAGCAGTGGCTTATCTCTTACAGAATTTGAGAATAGAAACTGACATCAGATCCTTATGGTATGTTCTGGGGAGTATTGATTGGCACTCATCAATACGTCAGAATTAGGTTTTCTGAAATGTAGATGTTTCATGTTATAAAAGGCAACTCATCCTTTTCTATGACATTTTCATAGTTACTTTGTAGAAGTTTAGCTTAAACTTTTTCCTGTCTAGATCTGACTTGGGACTTGTAGTATTCATTACATAGGACATTGTTACAAATAAAATATACTGAGTTTTTGCTCATAAACCTTAGGAATTCACATCTAAGTAGACATTTGTCAAAGCCAAGTCTTTAGAAGAGAAGCAAGCCGTAAGCGTTTACAGGTTCAATTTTAGAAGGCCAATTTGGACCTGTAAGAATAGCGATTGTAAAACCATCTACGTTATGTTGAAAAATGTCTTGGCCCAAGTTACAGGATACTAATTTCTAGTGCTGTGTTGCTGAAGGAAAAACAATATGGGTATCTATGCAAGACTAATGAAAACACTATTAAACAGCGGCAAGGCCTGTACGTCCTTTTGCTCTCATGAAGTGAGGACTGAGGAAGTGAGTAACTGCCTCCGTAGCCTTCTCAACACCTGCTCCTTTTGGTTGCAACTGTCAGTGCGGAAGGTGACAGTGAAGCTTGGCATCCGATTTGCTGAAGGGTAGGAGGGTTTCTCTTTGAGGTCATAACAGGAGCAGTGACTTTCTTTTTAATGTCTTAACAAGGGGAGTGCCACTTTGACAACTATAAAATAATATTCCATCTTTGTGCCTTGGGTTTTCTACCTGAGGGAAGCATGGGAAAAAAGATCACTTTATTTTTAATGCTATTTCATGTCTCCTAGATGAGCACAATGCCTGGACTCCCTACCCGGCCCTGTTTCTATGACATTGACTTGGACCCTAAAACTGAACAGGTGAATGGGCTCTTCTAAACAGGTAAGTTGTTTCTGGTGAGAGTTTTGCCTTTTTCTTTATGAAGCATATTTGTGAATTATAGGACTCCCAACTAAAGCGAAGCCTTTTCAGACATCACTGAGGGGACAGGGGCAGTAATGAAAGTTGGCGGTAACCAATGAGTGAAACGTTTGTATTTTGTCACATTTATGGAGGAAGAGCACAGCTTGTCACAGGCTGGCAGTGAGGGAGAAAGCCGTAGCCTTGTGAGCAAGGCCTCCCTGCTGGAGCCCAGGGGGCTCTGGGTCCCACATTGATGGCACACAGGACAGGAGCAGTTGCGGGCTGTGTACTCTGAATAGATGGTTAGCAGGCAGGAGCTGAGTAAATGTCCTAGAAAGTAGAAAAGAGAAGGAAACAACCAGAGCATAAGTTCTTGGATCTTAAGTGAAAGGCCCCAAGTACTTATCACAATGGATGAGCCATTTCTAGACACATCCAGTTGAATTTTCAAAAACATCAATGATGAAAATCCTAAAAATTCTTCTCCAGAGAATGGCTTCTCTATGACAAAACAAGAATTAGACTGAACCAACCTGCCTTATGAGCAATAAGAGGCTTTTTAGACAGTGAAGGAACACCCTCCAAGCTCACAGGGGATGATGCCTTGCCTCCTGTATTTGCACCGTGCCAGATCCATCCAGATGCTTCAGACGCAGACAGGCTCCCCGCGCCATATCTCTTCCTAGGAAGGGATTTAGCAATGTGCTTCCCCAAGATGAGGAGTAAGCCAAGAAAAAAGACATGGCCGCATGACGTCTCTTATATGTGGAATCTAATGAACAAAATAACAAAATAGATACAGACTCATACATAGAGAACAGACTGACAGCTGTCAGAGGGGAGGGCGTTTGTCCGGTTGGGTAAAAAGGTGAAGGGATTAAGCAAAAACAAAAAGAAAAAAAAACAACACAGACACAGGCAACAGTATGCCTACCAGAGGAAAAGGAGGGTGGGGTAACCAGAGGAGGCTGCAGGGAGAATAGATGATGATGGACGAGACTTGGCTTGGGGTGGTGAACACACAATGCAATAGACAGATTATGTATTATAGACTTGTACCCCTGAAATTTATAACATATAATTCTGTTAACCAATGTCACCCCAATAAATTCAATTTAAAAATAAAAACTGGGACACAAAACAAGTCTCAATAAATTTGAGAAGATTGAAATCATATCAAGCATCTTCTCTGACCACAATGCTATGAAACTAGAAATCAACCCCAAGAAGAACACTGAAAAACATGCAAAGACATGGAAGCTAAATAACATGTTATTTTAAAAATAATAGAAACTGAAAAAAGAAGTCACGGTTCTCAGGAAGCTGAATCCTGATCTAGACAGTAATGAAGGGAAGTCCTAAAAACTGCAAATGACCTAGAGTTACAAATCCGGTACAGAACAGGAAGAGGGAGGATTGAGAAAAACTAAAAAGAACTAGAAAAGACAATAGTATCAAAGGGTAATAATGCAACACAAAAGCTCTCACACTGTTTACGAAAGTAAAGGTCCAGGTGGAAGCAAACTGTAGTCAGTATCTAAGCAACTGTATGGATGGTTGCTTACAGGAGCCACTCTGCTTACAGAGAAGAGAGACTGCGTGCTTGATGTTTGGGGAGCATTCTTACGGAATGCTCTTCCTTAAGGGGGCATGTGTGGTGTTGGAGAAGTCATCCTGGCTCACACCTGGCCTGGAACAGCACTCACATTGCCATCATGTAAATGCCATGCATTGTTTTCAAGCCTGTGGACCTACCCTGGAAGAGCTGTGGGAAAGGGCGTCAACCTTACCAGCTTTGGCAACAGCAGAGGGTGACGATGTAGGGTAGAAGGGAAGAGGAAACATTTCAGCAGGTAGAGAAAACGTTCCTCTTTCTTTTGCCTTCCAGGTTGTTCATCTTCAAGAAACTACTTTGAAAGTTAGGCCACTGTATATTTGGCCTACTGTCAGGAGTGTGGGGAAGTCGAGAAAACCGGCCCCTGCCCCAAAGACCTTCTGAAAGAAATACTGGGAGTTTCCGCAGAAGCCTCTCCTTGGTCTTAGTTCCCATCACACCTAAATTAATGTAAATCATGCACATATCTATTTACTTTCCTGAAATCTCACAGAATAAAAGAAAATAATTTTGCTATCTCAGTGTTTAAATGTAAACTGTAGCATTAACAGGCTGCTGCAATATGTCCTGCCATCCTGTGTGAGCCCATTTGCCCAGCATATCCCTGGGACTAAGGAAGCAAGTTGCGATGTAAGTTTTATGATACTGTTTTGTTTAAAGGGGAAAATGGTGCATGCTTGTGTCTTTCTGGGAGGACACAGATCAGGAGAAGCAAGATATGGAAGATGTACCCTTTTATCATAACCTTTCTAGTGTTTTTTTTTTTTTAACTCTGGTAAAATATTTCTCATACAGTAATATTTTTCTGAACTTCCTTGGAATTCCCATTTCTGTTATGGCTTTAGCACCATTAATTTCTAGAGCCCTTCAAGGAAGGCTGGGCATATAGCACTAACCGAAGGTTAGCCCTTTTTGCTCTGTTGGTTCGGCAAATGTTTATTGAACTTTTACCACATGCCTGGGCTCTACTGTTCCCCATAGAATGTTTTTTTGTTTAAATGTTTTCCCTGCTCTTGCTTTTTATTTTCTATATCTTCTTCCATTTTCCCCTCCCTTTTGCCCCTTATCTTCCTGCATTGGATCCTTCCAGAAGGTGTTGCATTTTCACTAGTGTTGGCAGAGCAGCATTTTCCTGGGGTCCTTGGTTTTATTACTTTTAATCCCCTCGGTTCACATCAGTGTTATAACACAGTGTTTTGCAATTCAAATAAATAATGGTGGTACTTTGGGAGCATGTGGCAACAGGGTTAAGGGTACAGAGCCCCAGCTGCGCCATACATTGTGTACCGCCTGGCACATGGTACACACTCCAGGGTGGTGCCAGTGCCTGCTCCAAAGCATCATTCAGGCTCTGTCTGCACAGAGTTCACTGTTTCTGATTTCCTTTGTTTTTTTTCCAATGTCCTATAAAACCACATCTGGAATGGGACTTGCTGGGAAGTCAGTTTGTAAAAGAACTATTATCAGACATGATGACTTAAAGACCATCTTAAAGGTTTTAGGCTTCCTCATATCTCCAAAGGCCATGTAGGTTTAAATCCTTATGTGGATAGGAATGAGAAACTCAATTTGTGGGAGAGGATGTTCATAAGACAAAGATTAAAAACGAAGCTCTAATCCAATAAATAATGCAAATGTTTTTACTAGGCATTGCTTGGAATGAATGGACCATCACCAATGCAAGAAATTCCTAAGTAGAAATACAATATGCCTTCAGTAAGAATTCAAATGTTACAACTTGCTATTTGTTTTTGAAGATTTTATTTAATTTTAGAGAGAGGGGAAGGGAGGGAGAGAGAGAGGGAGATAAACATCAATGTGAGAGAAACATTGGTTGTCTCACACATGCCCTGACTGGGACCGAACCTGTAACCCAGCCATGTGCCCTGACCAGGAATTAAACCAGTGACCTTTTGCTTTGCGAGACAGTGGTTAACTGACTAAGCCACACAAGTCAAGGCACAACTTGCTTTTTTCACTTGGCAATGTATCTTAGAGATCTTACAATATCAGCAGTTTGAGAGTCATCTTGTTTCTCGTGGCTGTGTAGTATTTAAACTGTCCTATCAATGGACACAACCTTTGATGGTTTTTGCTGGTCTAAATGATGTAGCAGTGAATATTCCCATACCATACATATCTTTGCATCTTGTATTGAACCATCTATAGGATAAATTCCTAGTGACAGAATTGCTCAAAGGATGATTTCTAGCTTCAAAGTGGGAGCTGATCTTTGGTTGGAAATGTATGGAGATAAGTTATACTAGAACAAATCTGTAAATTAGATTATATCTCCATTTTGCAGAAAGGTAAACTTCAAAACTTCACTGCTGCTGCCTGCCAGATGAGCTTGTTAAGGTCGTCTGCCTCCAAAGCCTTTGCTCTTCACCATCATACTGCCTTTCAGGGCTCTTCCTAGAAGACAGCCCCTGCCAGCTTGTACAGAAATGGACGTCTCACTTGTGACAGATGGAAAGCTGTGCCCATTCCACATCCCTCCTGAAGGAGAGGGTAATGAAAAGTGGAAGAAGCAGAGGAAAGAAATAAAGAGGTTAGGAAGGCTGCCAAGCAATTATTGGTGCCATAGGTTTTGTGGAATTGATTCTTTAATCCGTGATAAAGAAGAGGTATGAAAGATAAAAGGCATAAAAAACAAAAAATAACTGTTGGCTACTGGAAGACCTGAATTCAAAACCTACAGGAGAATTAGTGCTCAGGGTACATATTAGTCTGTGTTGCCAGAGAAGGTCTAGTGCTTTTACCTGGGGGCTAAGAGTCCTTGCTGGTCACTGTCCTCCCTGTCCACGTTCCTATCCTCTCGATTGCTAATACCTTCCTTCCCCATATTCGTAATATTGCTGACAGATTGCACCTTCTCTGATCTGCACCTCAGAAGCTGTTGCTATGCACTGAAGATGTATATACATTCTTAAGAGACAGCATTTATGTATTGTTAAGTGCAGCAGATTACAACAATTACTGTTTGTCTTGGCTGGTGCAGCCCTAATGGTGCCTAGGAACAGATCCAGCCGCCAGAGAACTGGAGCCTTAGGTTCATTTAACGGTGCACCAAGGAAGAAGGGGTGGAGGCTTATTCCCAGATCTCTAAAATGTGAGAATTGCTACCACAGAGTTGTAAACCATTTTTGGTAGCTATAGATCCAGGCTGTGGGTGGATAGGAAGCAGGATGGGAGAAACGGTATGAGATCAGATAAATATGTAAGCTCCTTTATTGGCATACTGTATCTGGTGATGTTAACAAGATGAGCTGTAGGTAGGATAATTTCTCATCAGATTGGAGAGATATTTATAGCCTGTTTTCTCATTATATAATGAAAAGCTACCAGTGGAATAACAGACAATGATAAGGGTAATAGCTTCCTAACTGTCACTTAAGTGAGTTCAGAGATGACAGATTTCTTTCCTGCTTGAGGTACTGGATACATCTTTTAAAACTAAAATATGGCATCAAATTCTAGTCATATCCTGAAGAAAAACCACAGTGCGGTATTTTATTTATAGTACTATGTGTGTGTGTGTGGTAGAGGTCAGGGATGAGTTATTTTTAATATACCTTAAAGAAACCTGCCCTTCAAATACACAATCAATTCACCTCTTATATCAAACCACCCTTCAGTTCTCTTTCATTTTTTTTTCTTTTAAGAAAAGTGCGTGGAATAAGATCTACAAAGTCATTAGGTGGCCTTTATTGTTTTAACCTGTCCCTCATTTCATTTCCAGTTATTTCCTAATAAGATAGCTGTGCTACCCTGTCTTCAACTAAATAAGCTCTCCTTATTTTTGCCTGCAATTGTTGCAAACTCCCAGGTCTACTGGATTTGAGAAAACTTGTTTCTCAATGGGTAATAGCATCTCAATTGATTTTGAGTAGTATGGATTCCTTTAGACATGTTTAAAGTTCCAAACTGGAAGTAAGTAGGGTTAACAACCCATCTGGAGATATAAAAGACATTTCCATAGGCTGGTGTTCTGTCAATGAACAAAGGTAAATTGAATTCTTAATTACAACTAAATGAGATATTTGTGGGTTTTCTTGTTTTATAGTTCTTGTCTCTCTTATCTGTGAATAAGATCTTGACAACTTGGATTCAGCTTTGTTATTTTGTCCTAATAGTTCTTTCCTTAAAAGTCTCAGTTAAAGCGATAGTACAGAATGATATGAAGGTAAAATATATTGCCAAAAAAAAAATCCAAAAATGGGTAACTGAGATTTACTCTCCCAAAGATCATGATCCTATTGGAAAGAGGAGTTAAGTACGGCCGCTGTTCAGCCGGACGGTGTGCCTAGGAGGGGCAGGAGGGGCACGCAGGACTTGTGCACCCGGCAGGACCTCACAGCTGGAGCTCCCCGGGATGCCTTGGTAGGGAGTATTAAACCCAAAGCAAGACACCCTAAGCTCTTATAGCAACACCTTTCATCGGTGTTAATAAAAACATTGTGTCTTGCGTACAAATAGATTCTTGTGCTTTTCACTATGGTTTACAACTTACTTATAAAATTTACAACCTCGCCAGTCAGGCAGGAAGTAGAGGCTGCCTGTGCTATTTGCTCTGATTGGGACTAGAATTGTAACGAAAGCCTCTCCACACCCCCCCCCCGTCCCCCGCCCCCCTTTCCCCCCGTCCCCCAGCCCCTCGTACCCCACTCCGCTTGAGAGGGACAAGGTAAAGTAGGCATCGGAATATCCTGAAGGGAAATATGGGTAACTTGTAATTTACTCAACTTATTCTTGGAAGTATAGAAGGTATAAAAGATGGGCGGGGCAGGGTTCCTGGGCTCTTCTGACCTTGTGCGCACGCTTGTCGGATCATCTCTACCTGCCCCCTAGAGCTGGGAGACAAGGGTCTGGCGCGTGGGCTTCTGACATCCTGTTTGCCCAGGAGCGATGATAACCACATTACACCCAAACCCACTCCTGGGAAAGTTTTATTTTGTGGTTGTTTCAATTCATATATGTCATTTTTATCTCCAAACAAACGAGATCCCATGCTGCAGTTTTGAATCCTGCTTTTAAAGTGTGGTATCTGCTGTACCTTTAAATAGTTTGGGTGGGGACAGGGTTATAATGGGGTGAGTGCCTATAATTTAAAACAGGATTTAGCTCCCTCACGTCTCAGAAAATGTGGGGCTCAGCACCCCGGTCCCGTCCCCATCTGCCGGCTCTCTCGGTGGTGCCCCTGCCCTTGCCTGGATGTGGTGGCGCCCAGGCTAGGAGCTGCGAGGTCAGCTTGCACGTGTCTGGGTAGACTGTTCGCCGTAAGGAGGTAGACCTGCGGTCCTCGCTCCTTCCCCACCCAGCCCCTCCCCGGCCCCGCCCCGGCCCGCTGCTCGGTGCGCATTGGTGCCGCCGGCTGTCAGTTCTTGCGCTCTGGGGAGGGGGCGCCGCCAGGCTGCGGTCCCTCTGCAGAGGGCTGCTTGCCTTGTGTGCGACCGTGGCTTCCCGGCTCCCTGGGCGCCCGGCCTCACCAGTGCCCCGCCAGCTAGCTCCCCGCTCCAGTGGGCAGCAAGGACCCCCGCCAGGGACCCCGGCAGCATCGGTAAGTGCAGGAGGGCAAGGAGGTTGCGGGAAAAGAGGGTGAGGGCCAGTGTCCGGTCCACCAACTGCGCGGCTGAGTGGGCGGGAGGTGTCCCCTGGACCCCAGGAATCTGTGCACCCCCCATCCCGGAGATGGCCGATGTAAGAACTGGGAAGGTCATTTGTCCTCAGGAATCTCCAGCCAGCGCGACCCTCATCAGCTCTGCTACCTGCACTCTTAGCCTTACAGCTTGTCCTAGTAGAATGGGTTGCGGTAGATTTTTTTTTTGCCCCCCCTTCTTGCCCTTGACTTGAGGGAGATGTGATTCTGGGTTCCTGGCAATGTAATTGTGCAGATAGCTTGGAGCTGGGTTATCTGTTGCACGCCCCCGGCACTTTCCTTTTTGAGTACTTATCCTGCGCTCTAGCTCCTGCCATAAGGCGCATCCAGCCAGAATGAGAGAGAGACGCCTTCCTCCAGGAGGAAGCTTCGTGGTGCACATCCGATGCTGGAGAGAACCACTGCTTTCCTCATGGAGCGGTTGCTCTTTGCCTCCGTGCTTCTCTGCTCAGAGGGAAATGGGAAAGGGGTATTTCCTATAGCATTAGACTTGCAGTTCTATCAGTAAATGACAACAGGGATTTTAAGATTCCTGAGGAGATAAAACTACACCTACAGTTTAAGAACGAATCACTTGCAATCTAACATTCTGCAAAGTTTTAATGTTTACAGACGGCATGTTCCCCACTACAGTTAGGTTTTTGTTTGGGTTTTTATTTCTACAGTGTGATAAATTATTCAAATAAGCTTCTCAAGCAGCTGTCCATGTTAGTTTCAAATGCTACATTCCTATACATGATCTAATTTCAATATTTCTGTTACTTATACATCCTCTGATTTATAGAAGTTTTCAGAAGCTGAGCATTCACGAGAAGACTGAAAGCTATAATCAGCTGTAATTCCAGTACTTATGGAAGCATATAGGGACACTATAAAATGTTCATATTTTAGTTCCATTATTGTTCTAGGATAACTTTGTCTTTCTGTTAGAGGCATGGATGGAGTCAACCTAAGGGAATACTTAGATCACAAACTGATTTTCATAGTTTGTTTCATATGTGGTTCATAGAATCAAGAACTACCCAAATAAACTTCCAACAGCAAAGGATTTATATAAAAGCAGTTGAAGGAATGAGTCCCTTTTCTTATTTTAAAACATCCATCAACTAAAATTCATAGGAATTCATAGATGATCACCTCACATCTCTGCTCACTGGTACCATCACGACATTTTATGGATTAATTTTTAAATATGCTTTTATATATAACCAGTTTGCCAATTGCACATCTTATCATTTACGATTTGCTTTTAAACTAGTTCCAGAACCAAGAAAATACAATATAAGGAATTTCAAAAGCTTAACTTTAAAATAATAAGCACTCAGTCTAATCTTAATTCAATTATGAGTTGATGGACTATATAATGGTTAAATAGCCATTAAACATTTTTAAAAACTTGTACTAGCACAGATTAGCATTTTTAAACAATTCATTTTTCTGATAAAACTCTTTCAGAGCATGGGCTTCAGAAAGAGTCTTGAGTTGAATCTGAGCTCTGTTACGTACCAGCTGGGTAATCTCGCACAAGTTGCTTAACTTCTCTAAACCTGTTTCTTCAACTGTAGATGGTGATACCACCACCTACTCATTTTGTAATGTGAGGAGGGTTAGAGGCATATGTAAAAGTGCTTAGCACTTCCTAATACATAAACATTGCTCAATAAATGTCAGCTATTACTATCATTCACTCTTACTGACCTTCAACGGTGTGCTCATTATGGAAAGTGTTTGAAGAGCAAATACTTAGGAAAAAAAATCAACATTATACAACTAAATTTAAGAGTGGAAGGTGACAAGTGATGTCAAATTTCCCCAGTGTATGTATGAAAAGTAGCACCTCTCTCATGGAACTGACATTTTTAGAACAGAAACCTTATGGCATAATGTAAAGAACACTGGAGAGTCAGAGTCTTCAGTTCTAACTCTGGCTATAACCTTATCTAACTATATGGTTTTTGACAGGCTAACTGCCCATTCTGGTGCTCAATTTCTTCGTAAGACTGGACTTGATTTATCTCAAATATTCTCTAAGAACCTCTGTAGCTTCAGTATTCTTTATTGCATGTAAGAAAAATTACACTAGCTTGCCCATCACCCAAACCTTCATTGTTTATTGACTGACTGATTTTAGAATGAGATATGAAGGTGGGGAGAAAGAACATTGATTTCTTGTTCCACTCACTTATGCATTAATTGGTTGATTCTTGCATGTGCCCTGACTGAGGACTGAACCTGCAACTTTAGTGTTTCAGGACGAAACACTGGCCAGAGCTCCTCTTTGTTGTTTTGTTGTCATTGTTGTTGTTTGTTAATTTGCCATAAACAATTCATAAAGACAGCACAACTAAAAAGTTGATAAAATTGTCAGATTTGCAAGAATAACCCAAAATGAAGTTTTGACAAAGAGTTATATTCACACTGAAATCTTTTGATAAGGCAAAAGTTAACCCCAATTTTTATTCTTCAGTCATTTTCAGTAAGTTTTCTTATGGGAAGCATGCCTGGTAGAGCCATTTAAATTCAATTGAAATAATCTCTATAGAAAACAATAGGCTGATAGTGAAATAAAATACCACTCTCTTTTTTCTCATCAGGTTGACCTATAAATAAAACGAATCTATCAAGTAAAGGGCTTTCATGAAGAAATTAAAGTGAGAAATTACAATTAATGGAGAAACTAAGCATTTGCATACTGAAGAAACCACCTCTTCAACTGTGCAATAAGACGAAAGGAGTGAAAAGATCGGAAGAAATTTTGCTTAGTATGACATTTTTGCCCAGCTTTTTAGCATAAACAGCTGCTAAGGAAAAGAGACTATCATTTGCTAGAGAAAGAGCGCTATGTAAAAATGGAGACCCCAGTTTCTGAGATTCAGGTAGAAAGCAAGGAAGAGAAGAAGAGATCAGCAAAAGTTAGTCCTCAGGATGAGAGGCAGGAGGAAAAAACATCAACACTTTGCTTCAAGAGAAGAAAGAAATCAGCCAAAGCAGTGAAGCCCAAAGCTAGCTCTGAAGCTGGTGATGTGGCAATGAAATGTCCCTCAGAAGCAGGAACTCCTGATCAGCCACAGCCCCCAGGGGGGACCTGGGCCTCAATCAAACGCCTTGTGACACGCAGGAAAAGGTCCAATTCTTCAAAGCAGCAAAAGCTCTTTGAGGCGAAAGTGCAACCTGAAATCAATACTGAGGATGCTGCTCTTGCTAAGAAAAAGGCAAAATCCAGACTTAAGTTTCCCTGCATAAAACTCTCAAAAGGGGAGAAAAGAAGTAATCATTCCAAAATTATAGAAGATGCAGACAGCAGCATCAAAGTTCAGGCAGAGGCTGAAAGGTTGGATACAAAAACCCCAACCCAATCAGATGACCAGGCAACAAAGACCAAGTTGACCCCGGATGTATGTGGAGATGTCTCTCAGAAAGGGGGTGATGAGGTTTGTGAATCAAATGTGAGCAACAGCAGAACTTCTCCTGGGGAGAAAGTTATTTCAGTAGAAGTTGGGTTAGATACAGGGCATTTGGCTATTCAGACAGGAACTCTAATCCTTGAAAAAGATGTTGAAACGACTGAGGAAGAAGAAAGTATCCAGACCCAGCAAACAAGCCCACTGGAAACTTCAGAAGCAGAACATCAGCTACTGGTGGTTTCTGATGCTCCCCCCTCACCTGCAATCCCAGATCAACAAATTGTGGAAGAAGCCAGAAACAGTATCCTAGAAAGCAGACCAAACTGGAAGGACCATGAAAATGGAGAGAATGTGACTGAAGAGATTAAGCCAAAAGATACTGAACTGAGCCAGGAATCAGACTTTAAAGAAATTGAGATCTGTGCCGAGAAACCCAAAACAGAAGAAATCAAAAGAATTGAGCCAATTGCTATTATTATTACAGACACTGAAATTAGTGAATTTGATGTTAAGAAATCTAAAAATGTCCCGAAGCAGTTCTTAATGTCAATTGAAAATGAGGAAGTAGGGGATTTTGCTCAGTGTGGTTTTGAGGGTAGAACTTCAGAACAGTATGAAACACTCTTAATAGAAACAGCTTCTTCTCTTGTCAAGAATGCTATCCAGTTGTCTATAGAACAGCTGGTTAATGAAATGGCCTCTGATGATAATAAAATAAACAATCTTCTACAGTAACTCAATTTCCAAATCATGGGAGGGGAAAAAAATGTTTAGTGATGAATTATTTTACATATCAGTGGCATTTCTTATTCAGTAACAAATGAGAGGTTTTCATCTGTGGAATTTAAAGGTATAATTTCAGCCCAGAAGTGCTGAAGAATTAATCAAGAGGATAAAACCCTGCTTACCACTAAAATGCAGTCACTTCTGGATGGGGAAAGTCTGTACAGATTGCAATGCCACGTGACATACAGGGAGTTGCTAAAATGGCATGTGGAGATGGGGTGCCTGAGGGAAAGGTGTGTTTATTGAGCACTTACAATATGCCATAATCTCTTTAATGTCTTTTGATGTCACAGAGCCTGGTTTCCTTTTGATAGTTCAACTCTGTGTATAGGTTAACACTGCATTCAGTTTTCAAAAACATTTTAGTTACAGTGCACATTTATGTTGTTTAAAATGGTAAATAAGGTGAGCTTTGTGGTGTGAATGTGTGCAGAATACATGTAGTTGAATTAAACATGAGTGGTTTTCTGGTCTTGTTCAAGCCCCTTAAAAACAAAAGCCATTCACAAATTACTTCGAACTGGCAAATAATTACCAAGTGCAAAGCTGTGGGAACAGGGAGTGCATTTTTGCTCTCCATCTCCTGCCCCAAACAGACTTGTATAAATCCATTTCTGCATGGGATCATCTGATGAAAACATAAAAACAAACAACAAAAATAAAAAGAGTGGAATATTACTTCCCATCCAGGAGAAGGCAAACTTCCCAACAAGTCATCACAGATAGTATCGATTCATGGTGCAGGATTACTTCTCTAGAGACCATATTCATCAACTCTCCTCAGAGTGGGGAGAGTGGATTTAAAGCCAGCCTGGCAGTAAAAGTCCTGGGATATCATAATAATTTAGTAAAAATATTATTTACTCTTGACTAAGAATGAGCCAAGTGAATAGAAAGTAAAAAGTTATTGCTAAAGCACATATTTTAAATGTCAGTGTGTTTCATTGTGCCTATGTGTTGAGACACCAGTAAAAAGACATTTTACATGGATATTGAAAAATAAATTTTTCATCAGTTTTTTCAATACAGCCAATCCCTTAACAAAAAACAAAAACTTGCAAGAAAGAACCCTTATTTGCATTTTATTCAATTATTTAAATCGTTGATCTCATCGATGAATGCCATATTTTTTAAAAAAGTGATTCTATTTCAATCTTTTCTTGTGGCCATAGTACTATAAATACACTTCCTTACCTCCCAGGATAGGCTTCATGTTGTACAGTCGCATTCTGTCTAAACTGTGTGACAGTGTTACTCTGAGAGGAAATAATGAGCTTTCGCTGGAATTGTAAGGTATTTGGTAAGAGTACTTGTACATGCTTAGAGAAAAGGATGTACATGAGATTATTTTAAATGATCTGATGGTTTCTTGAATTATTTATGGATTGCATGTAGAAAGTATGTGCTAATTTGTCCTGCAGAACCTTTGTTTCTTTCTGTAAGTACATATTGAGAGCTCCGGCAGAAAAACCTCATCTGACTTTGGAACTAAATAATGGATATTATTAGCAAGATTCTTTGTTGAAGTGCAAAAGTATTATTTCCCCAGATTTTCCTACCTTCATGCTTATAAACTTGGGAGGGGGGAACCCACCCAAATCCTTCAATTTAGCAAGATAAAAAGCAGATCTTTCAAAACACATGATCCCCCTCCTCCCAAAAACCAATTTTTTTTATTTGTATAACTTTAAACATTAAAAAAAAAAAGACTGGTGAGTCAGCCTCCTTAAAAATACTCTTTAAATCACTATATGGTGCTAATGAACTTGGATAGCTACCAGCAAATATCATATATTTAAAAGTGAACAGTTTAAAAACCCTGATTAAAATTGTTGAATTTTACTGTGTTTGAAGAAAACTACCTTCAATTACTGCAAGAAAGGCTCAAGCGTTTCAATACTTCCATTGAAAGTTTTTAGTCTCTCATGAATGAGCAAAAAGTACAGCACTTAAAAGTTATTGAAAACATTTTGAAAGGTTTAGGTGTATTTGAGAGTTTTAAAAACATACACTAGGTTAATATGTGTAAATAAATATTTTTTTTGTTGTTAAGTAACATTTTTTCTAGCCCTGTGTTTCTGCACACTTCGCTCCCCCCCCCCCCACACACACACACACACTCTGGCTTGATACATATTTTTGATTAAAATGTATTATATGTAGTGGATTGTTTTTGTGATGAGTATATTCTACTTGCATTCATTCTTAAGTGGTTTCTCCTCAGTCTTTTTATTGAAATTATCTGGTGGATTAAATAAGTAGGATTCCAGTTTGAAAAAAAGAATCCAGACATTAATTGGTTTCCATCTGATTAAGGTATATCTTCTACATGGATTAAATCCTACTACAGTGAATTCCAAGGAAACCCAAATTGTTTTGTTGTTATAGAAATAACTAGGAATCAGATGACTTAGAAATTAATCAGTGGGGATTCAGTTTCTCTTTGAACTCAGAAGTTTACAAGGCTGGTTGGTTTATCGGATACTTGTTAAGTTTTTCAACATATTGTCTTCCCCCTTTTAAGAATCAAGTATTATTCACTTAGCTTTACAACCCAGTGAAAATGAAAATCCTCCTCTATTTTATGTAGCATTATTCACTTACCATTTTCTCAAAGTACTTTACAGGATATAAAAATAGTACCTGGTAACATTTAGGTAAAGGTAGCAGAAAACAAAAGAACTTTCAAACAAAACTTATGTCCCTGCAACCTCCTCCACTTCAAAGAATACGGTAATAAGCAAATGGTACAAATGGAGTTCTTCAGAAAATCTGCATGATTTTCTTTCAAGGTAATCTATTTGACAGCAAGAAATCTATGATGATCTTAATTGGACTACTATTCAATGGAGTCTTAGGAACTCTCATTTATTTCTAAGAGGTTGTGTTTTTTCATGAGTATGTGTGAATAGCCTTCCTGCTAAAGTCTTTTATAGATACAGATCATAACAGGGCATGCAATTCTGAGTTAACTTCATAAATTTATAACTTCAAGTTGCCTTATTTTTTATAGTTGAGCTATTTTTTTTCAGGATTAATAATAGAATTTTAAAAATAATTGTTAAACTTTCAAATCCTATTGTTTGAAAAGATCCTTTTAATGTCAACTTTATTCAGCTAGGTAAAGTCTTTCTAATTTCATCTGACAATACATATCAGGGGTTGACTTTTCTGCCCGTCACTTAAGATTTAGAATTCTTTAGATTCAAATTCCTATGATGTTTTATTATATAATGTGAAGCTTATTTCACAGAATTCAAAATTTCAATGTATAGTACATTTTATGGTACATTTTTGAAAAGGATTTTTGTAATAATCCCTATTTAGTTATAAATGTTTAACAGAAGGAAGCTACATAAAATTTAGATGTCCTGAATTAAACTGTTTGATTCAGCATGTGTTGGGTGTAGCGTATGTCAAACACTGTGATAAAGGGCAGGCTCTGGGACAGGGGTGAGGCACAGAGCAACAGGTAATGCAGCATCTCAAGTGCTATGGAGGGGACAACAAAGGAAAAACAATTTTGTCTGGCATGGGGAGGTGGTCATATAAATACAGGTGCAGTTTGAAAGCATTCATTTTCTGAATAGTTATATGGTATATTCATTCTAGTTTGTGAAGAAAAAAAAAGCCTGCATAATGTTATATATTTATAGTTCTTTGTCTGTGAAATGTTAACTGGATGAGCTGTTAAGAAAGTAAAAATTCCATTTTGTATTTCTATATTACTGTGGGTCAGATGCTAATATTCAAGAAATACTCTAGAAAAAAGGCTTCAACCTGAATACATGTACTGACTATTAATACAGACTAAATGTTATACTGGCTCATGTTTATTTTATTTATCCAAATCTTTTAAGAGAAACATGATACATTGCTTTCATTTCTTAAAACTGTAACGATCACACTGATGAAACTATTGAGTGAACACTGTAGAAAAGTGCTCCTCTGCTGAGTGTGGGGCAGACTTTTCAACAACGTGCATGAAAGTACCTGCCTTCAGCAAAGAGAAACAAACACCTAGACCTTGAATTCAATTTCATTGAACTATTCCTTGTAAAGGGTAATTCTGAATTTGATGCCTTCTCTGAATTTGACAAAAGTGCACTTGTATCCATCATCTCCTGCTATATTCATCAGTTGTTTCTACATTATATTAAACGATTAATTTTTTTTAAAGATTTTATTTTTAGAGAGAGGGGAAGGGAAGGAGAGAGAGGTAGAGAAATATCAATGTGTGGTTGTCTCTCACATGCCTCCAACTGGGGACCTGGCCTGCAACCCAGGCATGTGCCCTGATTGGGAATCAAACCCTGCAACCCTCTGTTTGCAGGCCAGCGATCAATCCACTGAGCCATACCAGCCAGGACTATAAACTATGAGTTATTAATAATTGTTATGGTTTTCTAAATAACCAAGCAATCTTGATGTGAAAATGCTTAAATTGTCCAGATGATGCCTGCTAAAGCTGAATATTTCAAAAGTCCTGTTTATTAAGACACTGATTTTATTTCCCTCATGTGGACAACCCAGTTGTTTTTTTTAAGCATAACTCAATAATAATAATTGGACTATATGAAATAGTGTACTTTCCAGGCTCTGGACCAACTTAAAGTTGATAATTTTATTTTTTGTTTTTTAAAGATTTTACTTATTTATTCTCAGAGAGAGGGGAAGGGAGAAAGAGAGGTAGAGAAACATCAATGTGTGGTCACTCCTCACACGCCCCACTGGGGACCTGGCCTGTAACCCAGGCATGTGCCCTGACTGGGAATCAAACGGGTGACCCCTTGGTTTGCAGGCCGGCACTCAATCCACTGAGCCACACCAGCCAGGGCTAAAGTTGATAGTCTTAAAAGTCCTAAAACTAAACCTTGTTCCAAAGCAAAATGTTTTATTAATGTACAAACACTGTACATATTTAATATTTCATGTTTAGAATTTTTAATTAAATCACTTCTTTCTAATATAAAAGGTACACTACCTTTTGCAAAACTTGTTCTCACAGGCAATTCTAATTTCTTTTTAGATCTACCTTTAATGCTGGAGTCTGGAGCCCCAGCCTCTTTGTGAGTATCCATTTTTTTTTTCCTCCCTGAAAGCTTGAGATCGCCAGGGGGTTGAGTTCCTCAGCTTAGGGAAGAGAGTGATGAAATGTGAGTTTGTGTATAAGCCCACTATACATCCACAGAAAACCCTGAACAAAGCTGGGCTCGGGCGCCGTGAACCAGTAAGGAAAACCTAAGTGAGGGGAGGATGGTGCAGTGGCCCAAAGCCTGGAAAACTGCCAGACTTAAAGTTGTCTCTGTAAATTCCAAGCTTCGTAACATCAATAGTATGGGTATCCAGCAGTTTCTGCATATTTGCAAGACAAGACTCTTCTCCCCTCGACTCACTTGGAGGCCAGACTCAAATAGGACTTTTGGTCTTGATCTTTCTGGCAGCACAATTACAGGGCATGAGCTAAATTTGTCATAGACTTTTCACAGCTTTATTTGTGGCCATAAACCACAGGCCTTCCAATTCTGCACTCCTGGGAGAGGGGAGCACAGGGGGACAAAAAAAGCAGATGCAGTCATTTGTACATGTGTACTCAAACCTTTTATTCCCAAGTCCCTACTTTGACATCTGTACCTTTAGGTCACAGGAGGTCTGGTCAGTATGGCTACACCGAGGTCTCTGGACCACATCTGTGATTAATTATGATCACACCATAGCTACAGGCATGCATGCTCAAGTCAAATATCCTCATGTATAAATTACAATGAGGATGTTTCATGTGGAATAACTATTTGCAGCATTAAAAAC